GGCATCCTGAAATGTTTTTGCCACAACAATCTGGAGAAAAGCCACACACTTGCCCAGATGTGGCTCCCAGCGCCTTCCACGCATCTCCACAGCTCAAACAACAAAACGCTTGCGGACAAAGCAACGTTGCTGTAACAATGAAGACATTCTATTTTCGTGCGCGATGATGACGGCAGCAGCACTGTGGTTCAGAAGCTCGGTGCCAATGTCCGAGGTCTGATGCTGGCCACGACAAGAGAGTTTCAGGAGAGAGAGATAGTTCGTGTAGTTTTGCTATTCCTCCTCCTCCGTTGAAGGAACGCAAACTACAGTGGGTTTACTGAACAGTCCACAGTTTGGGTCGCATGGCTGAGTCGCACCACTGTGGCTTGTAATGAAGAGGACGCTTGTGAGTGGGGTAGTTTGAGGAACGAGACGGAGAGTTCTTTCCGGGCAGAATTCAAAGCCTTGGGGAACACTGATAACGATGCTGCTGATGACAATGAGATGACGATGATGCTGATAACAATGAGATGATGATGATGCTAATGACAATGGGATGATGATGACGATGATGCTGATGACAATGAGATGATGATGACGATAATGCTGATGACAATTAGATGATGACGATGATGCTGATGACAATGAGATGATGATGATGATGATGATGCTTATTGACCAAATGCGCACGACATTACAAAGCGACCGCAGAGCGAAATTACAGAATTTCGTCAGGGCCACCCGGTGATCTCTACGTCGAGAAAAAAAAGAGCTTAAAATCAACCATCGTACGTAAGCTTCGATTATTGCTGTGATCGTTACGACTACAACAGGCACGTCAACGGACTAACAAGACCCATATAAACATTAGCCGCATGTAATACGCAAATAACAGTACACTTCCATAACAGTTTTTTTTGGGTTACATCGCGTAAATATAAATGCATCGTTAAACCCGCCACCACCCGACACAGCCAATTAGTAAGGTTTGTCACGTTAACAAAGCATGGCAATTCGTTACTAGTTCAGCACACCGGTGTGTTGGAGAGTAAAACCCACGACATTTACAATTCGAGTACGACGTTTCGCCAGCAATTATAACCGGCATCGTCAGGCGGTCAGCCAGAGTTGTGGAGAAATCCTCCTGCTTGGGTCCGAAATAAGTGGCATGAATGTGATCCCCTACGTTTTAAACTAACAGCACACTTACGTACATTTTGAATTTAGTTACAGTCACTTCAACGCCGGAGTGTGATCGCTTCACAATCCGAAGGTTTGCGACTCGGCGCAGGCCCATCATCCCTCTGCGGGTTGATAAAATTGTGGATCACTCATGGAAGTCTACGACGGGTGTACAGTGGCACGGACTGGTCTCCGCCATGGAAATGTGGAATTTCCACTACTGGCTCAAGGCTTCAACGGAGATGAACGTGGCCCCATTGGTATTGTGAGGAGGGAGATGCTGTGCTTTATTTGTTTACTTTGAGCACGCCACACACGCCACGCGTGTTGCTCGTGAATGTTGTCAAATAGCTGGCTCGTGATCGGCAAGAGTACGAGTTCAATTCTAGTGTCCCTATCATCATCAAACCCTGCACCATCATCATCACCGCCGCCATCGTGATCATCATCATCATCACCATGGTGACCATCATCACCATCGTGACCATCATCACCATGGTGACCATCATCACCATCATGATCGTCATCACCATAGTGACCATCACCACCATCATGACCGTCATCACCATAGTGACCGTCATCCAATCCGGGCCCAGTAAAATAGCCACCACCTGCGTCAGGCTCCTCCATGCAGTGCGGAGACGTCACCAGCTGACTCGTGGGGTGGCACAATCAGTGCCGCGACGGAGCCCGCCATAGGAATGTGGAATTTCCGCTCGCCTCTGGACCAGCATGACACGCAGATAAGCACCGCGCCGAAACGCTACCACGAGTATGACGAGACGCAGAGCAGCGCAACACAAGCTGCCTCGTGGTCCAGATGTCACGTGACACCCCCCCCCCCCCCAATTAATTGACCTTAAATATTTGACCCTCCCTTTCACATTCATTTCTGTTTCAAAGAAACCTTACTTAAAATATATATGAAGTTTTTAGATAATTACACGGGGGTCACAAGACATCTGGAGCACCTTATACGATAGCCTGCACACCTGCATTACAGCGACACACACACATACATACGGCTGTACCTACTCATCATCGTATATTATTACAACGTCCGTCGATACGTGCCCACGTGCGTTTGCGTGCAGAAGCTTCAACCGCTCCTCCTACCGCTGCTACTACGCGAAGGAAGCGAACTTTGACAGAACGTCTCCACGTCACAATGGAGCCAGAACGAAAGGTCGCGACGAGAAGACACCGGTGGTGGGCCGGGTCAACGTTGACCTGCGAGGGAGCGAAGTGGAACGCGACGGAGCTCACCAAAACTTTACGCAGCGCGACAAAGGGGCAGCTTTGATCGCAGCTGCCCCGTTACCGGTGCCGTTCAAATCGATCCTCCCACGAGCGCCGTTTCTCCCCCCTCCCCCCCGTCAACTGCTCCGCTCGTGTCGTGCTCAGCGCGACGTCGACCGAACCGTGAATCGTGGTGATAGCCGCCGACGGGGTGGAATTTGCAGAACCCGCAATTCTGATCAACGCTACGCAACAAAGAGAGAACACGTGCGCATACTGCGTGAGTTCGTTGGCAATGTGAAAAGCTGCATCGGAATACATAACGCGTGTTATCGGCAATTTTATTTATTTAAATGTCCCTCTTTTCAATACAGTTTACGTAATAGCATACTTCATAATGAGTTACTCACATACCGTATCAGATATAGCAATTTACTTATCTATAAACAAGTCATTATATGAGATTATATTATTTAGCTTTTTTTATATCTACATATATAATACACACGTGCGCGCGCGCGCGTGTGTGTTGGCCATCCACACCTGCCGTGCCGGCCTTCATAGGTGCTCGCTAACAGCGCTTGCCACACACGTATTCTCAAAGGCCTATACGGGGGGATCCTAGTCTCGTATGTTTACAAAGGCGACTGGCTATGATTCCGGACCCACGACATTGTCCCACGTGCCATCCGGCCTTACCAAATAGGTGCTCGCTAACAGCACTTCCCCCTATAGTCTACGTAGGGCTACACTGGAGGTACTGGGAGCGATTGGAGCGGTGCTACAATCCGAACCACCTGAGGTTCATTCCTGGCCAACAAACACATTGGCCAGAGACGACCGTTTTGTTGTTGTTGTTACTGTTGTTGTTGTTGTTTTACAGCTGACCCTGGCTAGGCCTCTCAACTAGATCGACCCGGGCCTGAGACGAGCACATGCTACAGCGGTGGAATCAGCTGACCACCGGGAAAACAAAGGCTGACAGGTGTGTTGTGTGCGATGGCCAAACATCACCCTATCACATATGCGCTGAGCCAGCCTTTTATAGGTGCTCGCTAACAACAATTGCCTTTACAGTCTATAAGGCTCATCGAAGCGTATCATTGCAATTGTTTTTTTCTTTCATATATATAGTATAAACATTGGCACTATGTTTTTTTTTTATTTCAGATATGACACTTCGAGTTCAGACCCTTAATACTATTTTCTATACAGTTATATTAACAGGGCGATTCATATCACGATAATAATAAAAAATAACCGTACTACTTGCTTGTTAAAGAACCGGCCTTGAAAATGAAATACAAACGTTTTTGCGCGTGCGTTAAGGGCCCACAAATACACCGCAAATGAAATCAGCACTTCTACAATAGTTCATTTGTCCAGTACGTTATCTCTTACAGACGCTGTTGGAAATCATCTTTGCTCGTTCGTTAAGATATGAAGTGAATTTGAGAAAACGTCATCTGGCTCCCAATGCCCCTTCTACATCAGGGGGGTCAAACTCAATCGGACAGTGGGGCCGGAATTGCACCTCCCGCGGGTCACACAGTTGGGCCTATGAAAACGAAAATAATAATGATATGGTATTCATTGACCGATTCAATTTCCAATTTTTTTTTTAGTTTTTGCGGCAGGTCGTGCCAAATTCCCCCATCGCCCCGTTTCAACGTCCGGTTTAAATTCAGGTTGAATTTCTGTCGAAGCAGTGAATAAAGATTTTTTTTTATATATCAATATAAAATGTCGAAACAAATTTAAACACGTGGCCGGGTCCGGCCCACGGTCCGTGTGTTTGACACCCCGGTTCTCCCATGGTTCCACAGCCCAACAAAAATAAAATTACTCGTGAAGAAAGGTGATTTTCGAGTGTCAGTGGAGCGGCGTGAGCTGAGAGAGCGGTCTTGAGGAGTGAGTGAGACAGCGTTCTTCTCATTGGGGACAAAGAGCCTTACATGCATCGATGATGATAACGATGATGATACTGGTGTTGATGATGATTACGATGACGATGCTCCATTTGCATCGCACGTCAAGGAGGCCACGTAACACAGAACTCATCAGGGCCGCTCAATACTCTAAGTGTCAGGCCAAGGGATTTCTTATCACGCCCTGAATAAGATTATCAACGGCGGTCATAATAAAGTTCTGAAAACAAGGCATTGACCACATGGGTACTGACGGTTACACAAGGGCCGTGGATTCTAATTATTCACTCGAAATAATCACCTGCGGCCAATTTGCGGCACAACTTGGGGCGTGGGTCACGATGTTCAAGCCACAGGCGCACAACGTTCCATTCCGACGGACGATCACGTGGGGCGCGCGCGGCCTCTGATGTCCGCTCCATCGCAGAAGTTGAAGAAACAACGAGCACTCGTGTTGATTCGTCGCGGGAATAGCTGGCGGGCCATGATGGGGATCGCACCGCGTGCACACGGGGGAGGTCAGCGGAGAGGTCAGCGGGGAGGTCAGGGGGGGTCAGGGGGAAGTCAGTGGGGGAGGTCAGGGGGAGGTCAGTGGGGGAGGTCAGTGGGGGGGTCAGGGGGAGGTCAGGGGGAGGTCAGGGGGGAGGTCAGGGGGAGGTCAGTGGAGAGGTCAGCGGGGAGGTCAGGGGGAGGTCAGGTCGAGGTCAGGGGGAGGTCAGGGGGAGGTCAGTGGGGAGGTCAGCGGGGGAGGTCAGCGGGAGGTCAGCAGGAGGTCAGCGGGAGGACAGGGGGAGGTCAGAAGGGAGGTCAGCAGGGGGTCAGGGGGAGGTCAGCAGGGGGTCAGGGGGAGGTCAGGGGGGAGGTCAACGGGGGGGTCAGGGGGAGGTCAGGGGGAGGTCAGGGGGGAGGTCAGCGGGGGGAGGTCAGCGTGCCCCAGCTCACGTCAAGGGGGCGCGACGAGCCGAACGGCGCCGCGAGCTCGGCACACGCAACGAGCGACTCCCCCTCCAACGATCCTCCACATCGCTATCGGTTTAGGGGGGGGGGGTGATCGTAGTTTGAACGACCGTGGTACGTACGAGACCCGGCCACACCCCCCCCCTCCCCCCTTAGTGGCTTGCGCGTTTCCGCAAACAATTCCACGTACAAAACACTCGTCGGATTTGGGGAGAGGGCTTTACCGGTCAGCCGCGCGACCGGACTTGCAAATTAAGGGGTTGCCGGTTCGATCCCATCATCTACCCGGCACGGAAGTTGCAATGACAACGGGGGGGGGGCGAGTTGTTTAAATCCCCCCCCCCCCCCACCGGCTCTGTCGACCCAGCGGGGTCGTCGGGTTGAACGGCAGCGAGCCCATCGGCAAGGACGCGTGCTGGGGGGGGGGGGGTAAAGTGTGGGTTTCGACCGCCCCTTCCGAGACACATCCGATCGTCGTGGAAGAGCAGGACAGCATAGGCTCTAGGAGCGTGCACCGGAGTGGTTCCCAACTCTGTCGACCCTCAAACGAACAACAACAAAAAACAACAACGAATCCCGGACCGACCTGCAGTAAAAGAAATCTCCTCTGCACCGGTTCCACAGACCACTATTCCACGGGCCTTGCGGCCCACAGGGGAACCACCGCCCTGCAGGGTCCTTCCTTGGGCCCTTCCGCCAGCAGTCATGCGAGCGAGCAGTTGCAGGGCTGCGCCTTTACCTTTTTTTAAAAAATGCAAATCGAAACTAATCGATTCGTCCGTGCACGATTCGACGAGCGTCTCGCGCACGCGATCGTCGATACCGATCGATGGATCGTCGCATGCCCGTTATAAACTCCAAACGGCTTCCGGCCCACTAAGCCAAATCGTTCACCGTTGTTTTTTTTTGTTCCAATCGGAAACCATCGCTAACATGCACGCAAAACAGCCCAAGGCTTGCTTGTTTTTTTTAGTTTTCAGTGAAACCGATTTAATTACACTCATAGTGAATCTTTCACATCGAACGTACATCAGAAGCCTCCTACACCGCACATGCACAGCTGTCGGCTTACTCCGGGCAGCGAAGCGAGAATACTCAGAACCTCGCCAGTCGCGCTGCGCCATTGTCCGAGCGCCACGCTCGCCGTCAGGGTGCGGATGGCGTCTCGGCCAATCAACGCCCGTCCAACGTCGATGAACAATGGGCAACCGCTTTTTCAAATCTACGGTGGTCGTCCGACCAAAAACTGGCCCCGCCATGGGAATATGGAATTTCCAACGCCGGCTCGGGGTCACGCCCGGAGGTGAGCGCGCCGCCCCACGCTTGGTTTGGGCAGCGGGGCCCTTTAGACCAGGGGTGGGGAGCCTATTTTCTGCCAAGGGTCATTGGGATATTTAGAACATCATTCGCGGGCCATACAAAATTATCCACTTGAAAATTAGCCCGCTATATTTGGTCAAACATTTAATTAACTCGCCCCTAATGCGATGGCTGGAACTGCTTCTCTTTGGCGAGGCGTGTGATGTTAGCTGGTATTGATGATGTTGCTGCTACTCGCAACTGCTTTTTCAGGTTTGCTCCTAGATGTATTGAATTTCGAGTCCCGCCTGTGGTTGCCTTGGCAGGGCCACACCAACTTATTTCGCGGGTCTCATACGGCCCGCGGGCCGGACGTTCCCCAGCCCTGCTCTAGACTGTTGACACCGGCGCTCGCTGCGACGACACAGCTCGCTGTTCTCCCCGACGATTGCATAGGGAAATAAAACGTTCCTGACCAAACCCCCCTGCAAATAAAGTAAACTCCACGTCCCAAACGGGCAATGGGCCCTTGGGTAACATCACAAAACTTTCGCCCCCGGTATCCTTGGTCCAACTTTTTTACGCTCCCACTCTGGGGTGCCACGGTGGCGAGATGTTAACTGCCTCGCCTGGTATACAGGAGGTCGCGGGTTTCGATTCCCCCGTAGATTTTTCGATTCCCCCGTGGATTTTTCGATTCCCCCGTGGATTTTTTGATTCCCCCGTGGATTTTTCGATTCCCCCGTGGATTTTTCGATTCCCCCGTGGATTTTTCTCCGGGTCCTCCGGTGTTTCCCTCTGCATTTAGAGTCAACATGCGTTTAACGAGTATTTTTACTGCTTGCTATATATTTCCACATGATAAGCCATTTCGTTTAGCTATCATTTGTGGCCAGGTTTTTTCTAAAATGTTTTAGCCGTATAGCTCAGTGGGCCTTACATGGTAAAATAAAAATAGGTTTTAGTTTCTATAGACATGCAAATGAATGAGCCATTGTACCACGCACTATGCGCGTAGCCACGAACAAAGCCCGACTAACATACGCTACGTACAAAAACAACACTTTACAGTAATTATGTATATATTTTTCACGTTGTCATTGATAATGTGGGCTGGGCTCCAGCAACCCGGGTCCACTGATAACTTTTTTTAACTTTTATTTTAAGCAAGGGAGCGTCGAGACATCAGCGGCGCTGGCGTCGGGGCTCCGATTAACGAGAGCATCGCTAACCCCAGCGGGGTTGGTGGATTGCGCGAGGATGGGAGACGCGATCGCACATGCGCCAGTAGCACAAGACCGCCGCCAAGGGCATCGCACGGTTCACGACACGCTGCCTTGCGCATCGGGCTTCATCTCATCTCCCGTGCACATTTTTTCTTTTTGTTTCCGGCCACGAAGAATGGAGGCTAAACACAAAGACAACTCAAGTAGCAATGGAGCGAAACACCCCGAGCGGGTTAAGGAGTCGTTAGGAAACAACCCGCGGTGAACCTCGAGTTGTCATGAGCCAGTCAGCCTCTGCCGGCCAACAGGCGTCCGTTGCTTTGCCCAACCCCCACTGACCAGCGTGGGGAGGTATGGTCAAACAACCCCTATGACCCGCACAGGCGTGGCGAGGGCCATCATCCAGCAGCGGTGATTTGACGGTGGGGAGGAAGAGGTGGCGGGGCGGGTGGCGAAGCGGTTTGCCGAGATGATGGTAGCTGAGCTCCAAAGCCAGTGACTCGCGTTCCCATTGGTGACCGCGGCGAACAGCGGCGGTACAGCGAGGTCCGAACTGCCCCTGGGGATCCCACTCCGCCCCCTTCAGCAGCCTGCACTGGCCGGCGTGGTGAAGTACGGTCAAAACAAGTCGCCACCCACCCCCCACCACCATTGACCAACACTGCACAAGAATATATTTTTTTTATCCAGCAGTTGAATTGACAAATGGCCATATCTTATTAAGCGAATTGAAGGAATAAAAAAAGTTTCATTTTGGCACTGATTTTGGCACTGATGACACTGTATTTTAGCAATACGCACGACCACTACCAAGTGGTCTTCCAACAAGGGGAGGATGCAACTTCCCTTTTGCATTTCAAGTCACGTTTTGTTGATTATTTTTTCGTTAAAAATGCGCAGGTAATAATGCAGTGACGGGCGCTTTTGACTGACAATCGGAGGCTTGCCGTTCACTGTGCACTCCCGCGTTATGGATCTCGTCAGACCTGGGTTAGTGCTGCACAGGAGGCCGCTTGGGAATAGCAGGTGTTACGGGCTTGGGCCGTGCGTTGGCCAGGAGATGCGAGCACAGCGATGGATTATTTAATCCAGCTGTAAGGAGTTTTCAGTGTTTCCCCCCTCCCCCCCTTCATTACAACGGGGTCCTCTGGTTTCCTCCCACTAGCCAAACAAAGGCCCATTTTTGGGAATTGGCAAAAAAACCTGAAACAAAAGGTTTTTTATTTAATTTAAATTTGTATTGCGATCACCAAATTTTTATTGTGAGAATTCAACTCATCCTATCATTTCTCCAGGGTCACAGAGTTGAGAAAAACACTTTGTGGCAAGTCAACAGCCGTCATGCTATCAAGAGAGATCGATCCCTATCGTGGGGAATGTGGAATTCCCACTGTTGGCTCAGGCACGCCCAACACCGGGGTTTGAAGAGGGGGACACCCCCTCCGAACTGTTGACTTGACACAAGGCCTTCCGGATTGTTGTTATTGTTGTTGTTTGCTGCGGCTGCTGTCGGCTTTGTTTTAATTCTCCCTGCCAGTCGCGACTTGGGGCAGCCGATAAAGGGACGGCCAAAGACAGCCGCCCCAACGCTCGCCCGGGCAGGGAGACGCGCGTGCGTGCGCGCGTGCGTGCGCGCGCAGGCGCTCCAAACGAGCATTTCCGAAACTCTTGACTCGTGGGTTTGAAAATCTCAGAACGAAGGGTCAGGGGGCGCCGTCCGCTACAAGCGCGACATCTGCTCGGGCAGCGTGGCCCTGTCGTGCGGGTCGCTCACGAAGCCCCCGTTGCTGTACTCGCGCATGTTTGTGAAGTTCTGGCCGCTCACGGCAACCGGACCTCCACCCGCCTGCTTGAGCAGCAGAGCGGCGGCAGTGCCGCCACCGCCGCCGCCGCCACCGCCGCCGCCGCCGCCGCCACCGCCGTCCTCGTCGTTGCTGTTGTTGTTGCTGTTGCTGCCGCCGGGCGAGAGCGGCGACGGCGGCGGGAAGACGGAGGGCGAGGGCGGGTCGAGCACGCTGAGCTCGCGCCGCGCCGCGTGCGCCACCACGCCCGCGCCGATCGCGTCGCCCAGCACGTTCACCGCCGTGCGGAAACGATCGCTGCACGCGGCGGACGGGTGGATGGGAGGGTAGGGACAGGAGGGTAGGGATGGGAGGGTAGGGATGGGAGGACAGGGATGGGTGGGATGGGAGGGATGGGAGGAATGGGAGAGGACAAACTTAAGGCCGTGACTGGCTGGCGATTGTCACCAGCAAGAGTTGCGACACGAATTTAAACGACTGAACACGCGACATCACTCCGATTTTCCACTGGCAAAATCGAGCCAAGGCAGCGTGGGGCTCTTCTGATACAGATGATTTTCCACCGTCTAGTTTTACACCTAGGCTTTGACTACCAATGTTATGATTCATAACTGGTTTACTTTGGTTTAAATTGCGAAGGTATAATATCAATGGTTATATTATCTGTAATCCTCAGTCTTGGTCATGCAGGGTGTGATCTCAAAGATGTTACTTGCTTTCAACATTCTTCCTTCTCTGGTTTTGCCGATAAGCTAAATCAATCGGCGTATTTGACCACGACGTGGAGGGTTACGTACGTATCTGTGTTGAACTTTTCCGTACCATACATAACCAACCGTGCTAATTGGAGGCGCGGTTAAAGTAAAAAAAAATGCTTTCCACTGGCTATTTCCTGAGCCAAGCCAAAACCACAACATGAAACTATTTTTTTTATTTTGCTATTTTTATTCGAACCAGGTAAGGCCCACTGAGCTATGTAGCTCTTTTTCAGAAGAGACTTGGCGATCACAGACGATGGCGCAACAAAGTGGCTTACCACGTGGAAATTTCTAGCAGCCGAATACTCGAAATGCATTGTTTCTAAATGTGGAGGGAAAAACCGGAGGATCTGGAGAAAAATTCCACGCACGCAAACTCCAAATATACAGCAGGCATCAGAGTCGGGATCAGACGCTTGACCTCCAGCATACCAGACGAGGCAGTTAGCATCTCACCACCGTGGCGCCTTACAGGGCATCTGACTCATTGGGCCACGCAGGGTTAGGAGCGGGGGTTAATCACATGGATCGAGCTTGCATCGGTATCAAGTTAAAACCAGACGCCACCTCATGTGCCACGCCGCGTTGGTGTCGGCACGACTCGGTTGTGAACTGTGGTCGATTAACCCCGTGACCTTTACGGGTTTTCTCACATTGGATTAATGAGAGAGCCATACATGTAGATACATATAGGAGGCATGTGATGAATAACTAATTCATCCACTTAAATCAATTCCTACGTTCGCAATGCTTGAATTACTTCGCGAGCATAATAACTGGTGATCTACTAACACACATGCGGATGTAACCATGTGTCGATTGGAATAAATGAGCCGGGACAAACAACCGAAATCAAACGATGTGGAACAAACAGGACGGATAATCCAAACGAGATGGTAAACTTTCGATTTAAAGCTTTCGTGACTGCAGGGATTCATCTTCTTGGTTCTTTCGGTAAAGTCACGTAGAATGGAAAAACATAATAAATTATTTTATTATGTTTAATTTTATTATTTCCATTCTACGTGACTTTACCAAAAGAACCAAGAAGAGACGGTAAACGTTGAGACTTATAACGCAAAGAAAGACAGGACAAACGAGTCAGCTGGTAGAAAACTTGACGGGCAGTACAAACCGGACAGATGATCCAAACTAAACAGAGAAACTAAACTATTTTTTTTATTTTACCAGGTAAGGCCCGATTTAAAGCTTTCGTGACTGCAGGGATTCATCGGACGGCTGCTTGCGTTGTGGCCGAAACGTCGTGAGAATTATTTTATTATGTTTTATTTTTATTACTTTATTATTTCCCTTCTACGTGACTTACCGAAAGAACCAAGAAGACAGTTAAGTCCCATTGAGCTATATCGCTCATTTTCATAAGAGACCTGGCCACAAATGATAGCTCAACGAAGTGGCTTATCGCGTGGAAATTTGTAGCAGCCAAATACTCTAAACGCATGCAGATTATAAATGTGGAGGTAAAAATCGGAGGACCCGGAGAAAAATCCACGCGACTACGGGGAGAGAGACACGCAAACTCCAAATATACAGCAGGCGTCAGGGTTGGAATCAAACCGACGACCTCCTGTACACCAGGCAAGACAGTTAACATCTCGCCACCACGACAGGACGAAACTGATGCTACAAACACAATTGTTACGTGACATCTGAATGTGAATTGTCGAGGTGTGAGATGGGGGGGGCGAGGGGGGGGGGATCAGTAAATCAACACACGGCCGACGCACGCACACATGGAGCGAGAGAGCGAGAGGACCACGAGGAGAGATAACGGCAGTGGGGTGTGTTTGGGGGGGGGCGGCACTCACAGGAGCCAGTCGACGGCGATGATGAGGGTCACGTCCTCAGAAGGGAGCCCCACGGCCGTGAGCACCATCACCATGGTGACGAGGCCGGCCTGGGGCACTCCGGCCGCACCGATACTCGCAGCGGTGGCCGTCACGCTAAGGGGCACGCCGACGACAACATCGTCATCATCACCGACATCACCGACGACATCGCCACCGACATCATCACCGACATCACTCGGATATCACCAACATCATCAACATCCCTCTGATATCACTGACATCACTCTGATATCACTGATATTATGAACATCACCAACATCACTCTGATATCACCAACATCACCAACATCCCTCTGATATCACTGACATCACTCTGATATCACTGATATTATGAACATCACCAACATCACTCTGATATCACCAACATCATCAACATCCCTCTGATATCACTGACATCACTCTGATATCACTGATATTATGATCACCGACATCACTCTGATATCACCAACATCGCCAATATCACCGACATCACCGGCATCAATGACATCACCAACATCACATTCCTATTTAAAATGCCAAAAGTGAGTTCCTCTCATGCAAAACGTTATTGTGGATTTCTCACTACATTTCCATTAACATATTTCTGCGTGTTTATGATTGCACAATCATTATTATTTATTAGTGATGATTATGTAGTCTCCCTGCTTTGATCTCTAGAGCTCCTGTCAACACTCGCTTCTCGTGTAACGTGCTCGCTCCCGCCGTATCATGATTTAAACGGCCACTAACAGCATGCGTGTGTGTCTGTGTGTGTGTCTGCGTGTGTGTCTGTGTGTGTGTCTGTGTGTGTGTCTGTGTGTGTCTGTGTGTGTGTGTCTGTGTGTGTGTCTGTGTTTGTGTGTGTCTGTGTGTGTGTGTCTGTGTGTGTGTGTCTGTGTGTGTCTGTGTGCGCCTGTGTGTGTGTGTCTGTGTGTGTGTCTGTGTGTGTCTGTGTGCCTGTGTGGGAAGCGGCAGTGTCGCGGTTAGCACGCTGCGCTACGAACCCGGCAACCCAAGTTCGATTCCCGCTCACGGCCAACACCAGTGACGATTATCTGAACCGGTCCTGGGCCTCCCCTAGGTTGACTCAGCCTCAAATGAGTACCCGGTGCAGTGTGTAAACATCGCCATTAAGAGAGACAAATGTGGCCGTGCGTGGTGCTGGCCCCCCACCCCCTCGCGTGCCGTGCCAGCCTTTATAGGTGCTCGCTAACAGCACTTGCCCCAACAGTCTGTGCAGGCTATATACGGGGGATCTTTGTGTGTGTGTGTGTGAGAGCCGCTAATAAGGTCGCAAGCTGGCGCAGCAGGGAGTGCACGTGGTCCTCTCACTCGGTGAACCCCATGGCACCTGGGTCTGTCCCATGACCTGCCAGCGAGACACTTCACGTGGCCTCAAGAGTGCACCTGGCCTGACAACAAGCGCCACGGTGATGTCACCGCCCGTTATCATTTGAGTTATCATTTGAGTTATCATTTCAGTTATCATTTGAGTTATCATTCGTGGCCAGGTTCCTTCTGGAAAAGAAGCTAATAGCTCAGTGGGTTTTTCCTGGTATAATAAAATAGTTTTTTTTCAAGTGATTTGCCTAGCTTTCCTATACTTTGCACTCCTATTGTGTTTTTGTATTGTTGTTCTAACTTTCTGACCCATCCCGTGAAAACAGACCCTCATAGCTCATCGGATTTCCTCCAGTATAAATATTCTGATTCTAATAGCGGGGAACGGCGGTTGTCGTCGTCGTTAATGTCGCTGTAGTTGTTGTTGTCGTTGTCGTCGTCGTTGTTGTTGTTGTTGCCGTGCGAGGGCCGTGCCTGATGGTGACGATCTGCCCGAAGTTGAGCTCCATGTCGTTCAGCTGCGCGATGAAGATGGCCGCCACGGCCTCGTACAGCGCCGTGCCGTCCATGTTGATGGTGGCCCCGACGGGCAGCACGAAGCGAGTCACCCTCTTGTCCACCCCGTTGTTCTCCTCCAGGCACTTGAAGGTGACGGGCAGAGTCGCCGAGCTGTGGGGGTCGGTGCGGGGGAGGGGGAGGAGAGCCGGCCGGGATTTCCGCGCGCGAGCCGTCAGTTCGGCGAACGAAGAAGCGAAGAACGCGTCGAGCGAAAACGATTTCCCCCAGTGACAGTGTAATAACGAGAACGTTTGGCGAGATGCGATGCACTTACTACTATGCACACCGCGCAGTGAGATGGCGGGATGAATGATTGAGGGTACACCGCCGCGTCACTGCATCATTCCACGTTACCATATCGCTGCACCGCACAGCCGCGCGGCTCAAGAAAGTAGTTCGGCATCGGCCGCTCAGAAACCGCGTTATAACGGGGGGCGCGTTATGTGTTATAACGGGGCACGTTCCGCGTTATAACGAGCAGCGCGTTCTGCGTTATAACAGGGGGGGGGGGGTTGTTTTGCATCATAGCGGCGGTGGGGGGGGGGGGCGTTCTGCGTTATAGGCTATACGGGGGACCTTGTAAGGATCACACACGCACATAGGAACAACAGTCTCTTTTGCTAAAGAAACAAGACTTGGGGCGTGAAGAAATAATGTACGATGTCAAATATGTTCGCGTATTAAAAATTTACACGATAATAAAACATAACCAGATATGAGAAAATGAGTTACGCACTTGCATATACACGAGCGCACGCACATACATCCACACAACAGCAAAAATATATATATGCAATCACATATATATCCCCGTAGAGCCTGTAACAGACTGTTGGGGCAAGTGCTGTTAGAGAGCACCTATTAAGGGCGGCACAGCACACGAGGGGGTGGGTGACCATCACCCCGCCCGGTCGCCTTTGTCTCCCCAGTGCTGATAATTAATTCAAACTCATTCAAGGCTGAGACGACCGAGGGGAGGCCCGGGACCGGTCCAGACAATCATCACTGGTGTTAGTTTAACATGTGTAGGCGTGTGGCCGTGAGCGGGAATCGAACTCGGGTCGCCGGGTTTGTGACGCAGTGCGCTACACTACTATTCCCCTCTATATCATGCAGTATATGCAATCAAATATAGGCAAGTATATACATATGCACATGTATGGTTTCACATACACACGTACATGCATATACAGACATGTGTACACACACTGCAAAGACGAAGACAAAGATCCCCCCGTGTAGCCTTCAGAGACTGTTGGGTCAAGTGCTGTTAGCAGCACCGATGAAGGCCGGCACGGTACACGAGGGGGTGGGTGGCCAGCACCATGCTCGGCCGCCTTTGTCTCCCCAGTGGCGATGTTTTTTACGCACTGCACCAGGTACTCATTTGAGGCTGAGTCGACCTAGGGGAGACTCAGGACCGGTTGAGATAATCGTCATGGATGTTGGCAGTAAGCGGGAATCGAACTCAAGTACACACGCACGCACACCTATTGAGTTATTATAACCAAAACTGAATCGTTGCTCACGGAGACACGATGAATTTGACTATATGCTTATATTTAATTGAAATTGATTTAACAACTAATTACTTTAGCATGTCAGTTTATTTACAGTTTTACCCCTGATATGAGAATGTTACGTCGACATTTTTATAACAAAGTCGCGAACAAGAAACTAAAAAATATTGATTAATATTGACGTAATTTGCCAGCCGAATTAAATCGTTTTCAAATATTATTACTACCGGTAAGGTATTTTCAAATAAATGACTTCGTAAATAGTTTTTTATCGTACATTTCTCTACTGCGCTATTAATTACTCGGTAATGAAATGAAGCGTTATTTTTACTATCGCCCATTTGTTCACTTAACGAGGTTACATCACCCTTACCACAATAATCGCGGTGATTTATTTACGCGCACGCAAATTTAAAACAAAAAAAACACCCATCCGCCCGCGAGCGTTATTACCATCAGCAAACGTTATCGCCAAAATAACAAAAAACGCGTAGCCACGCCGCCCCGTTATCATCTTGCGACGAGAAGAAGTCGAGAGATGAAAGGGTCGCAGACGAGAGCGTATTAATCGAGACGTTACTTATGGCGGAGGTGCACGGCCATGGTGCGCTGAGCTCCCCCCCCCACCTTCTCAACACACTCGCTCCGCTGCCTTCCCATCCCCTCGTCGCCACCACCACCACCGCCGCCACCACCAACCACCGCCCCCTTTCGCCTGTGGCCGAGTATCCCGGCAAGGCATCATCTCGGGGGGGCGCGCTAACGCTGAGCCCAGCGAAAGCAATGATAAAATAAATCTAAATCTGCGCGACGCCCGCATAAAACACGCGGCTGTGCGCACGTGCGTGCGTGCGCACAGCCGCGTGTTTCGAGGTCACTTAAGTCAAGGGTAGCGATCTCTTCCTTCTCTCGTCTGCTCATTCGCTTTCTCGCACGTTCCATGTCCCCCCCACGCCGCTCTGGCTCACGCTCCCTCCCATCTCCTATTTTTGTAATTTATCCTGGAAGAAGACGCTCCTGGATTTGGTCAGAGGTGTTTGTGCACGCGTGCGTAGTGGGGAGCGACAATGCAGCGGTCAGCGCTACGCTGCGTTACAAACTCGGCGTGTTCGATTCTCACTCACGGCCAACACCAGTGACGATTATCTGAACCGGTCCTGAACCTTCCCTGGGTCGACTCAGCGTTAAATGAGAACCGTGCGATGTGTAAACATCCTCCCTAGTGGCGATGTGTAAACATCGCCACTAGGGAGACAAAGGCGGCCGGGCGTGGTGCTGGCCACCCACTCCCTCGTGTACCATTCCGGCCTTCATAGGTGCTCACTAACAGCACTTGCCCCAACAGTCTGTTAAGGCTATACGGGGGATCTTTGTATGTTATTTCTCTGTGCCTCGGTAGACTATCTAATCAGAATGCCTATATCACTATGATCTTGGTTTAAAATAAAAACATAAAAAATCTGAGTCATTATCCAATGATCACGGTGCGGTCTATCTGGTGATGATGCCGTCGCTGCCTGCTTCGCCGGCAGCAGTGCACGAGCACAGCTGACGGAAGACACAAACAAAGAGCTCAACACACGTTTGCTTCGACAGCGGCACGTACGCCTTAAAAGAGGAGCAAAGGAAAAAACACGACGTGTAGATTCCGCGTCGTGCCGCGACGAACACGAGGGACGGGTTAGTCTGCGGGGTGAACAAACAGCGGCCCCCGTTAACACGCTCAGGGCTCACACCGTTGGCTCGTGCCCTGCCGCTCTCACCGCTCACCGCACGTGGCTGTTGGTGAGTGGCGGCGCGAGATGATGTCCATACTCTCTGCGGGTGGGGTGCGTGGGGCCAATATCGCAGATCCACTTGCCCAAATTGCTCCCAATCAGTCGCCTCTCATTAGTCGCACTGCCCAACGCGTGCGTCAATAACGCAGAGTGCTACCTTAAAATAAACCAAAGATCGCATATAATAGGCGACGTTTTGGGCAATGGCCCTTCTTCGTGGCACATTCGATCCTAAATTCGCCGACAGAGATGTTGATCGCAATGACGAGACATGAAAGTTTATATTTCACAGGCAATAAATATTCCAAACGATACAAAAAAAGCTACATTTACATCAACGTGTTTAGTGTGTGCAGTCATTGGTGACTAGGCTGGGACGAGCTCTTGTAACAGACAGAAACGCGAACATTGATATTTATTCATAATAAAGAGTTTTTTTTGGGTTACATCGTGCAAATATAAATGCGTCCTTAAACCCGCCACCGCTCGACGCAGCCAATTAGTAACGTTTGTCTGTAAACTAAACGTGCCAATTAGTTACTGCTTCAGCACACCCGTGTGTTGGAGAGTAAACCCACAACATTTACAATTTGATATTTACCAAGCTTAGCGACAAGTACCCTAAAACAGCCGCGTTAAAAATAATCTCCGTCTCTCTCGCTCATCCTCTCGCCGTCTCTCTCCTCTCTCACCTTCTCCCGACACTCTTTCCCCTTTTGCTGGCCCTCTCTCTCTCGCCCTCTCTCTCTCGCCCTCTCTCTCTCGCCCTCTCTTGCTCTCTCTCTCGCTCTCGTCTGCATTTCAACAGCCGCCCACATAAATAACCATAATACGTGAATATAGTGCGGATTCAAGCGAGTGGCCACAGTTTCATTTAATTCTTCACGTGCTGACACGGCAAATGATCACACCGCGGGGAAGAAATATAGTGAGCTTATTCAGATAACGCTGAATAGAAAATGTTAAAAGAAGAGCGGAAATATATCATACGTTTAGCCAACGCCTTGGTAAAAAAATATATATTTTAAAGCTAGATCAAATTTGAGCGGCCCTGACCCTGTGATTTAAGGTTAGACATCTTTTAATGAGATGTCCTGTCTCATTCGGCTCTTCCCGGCCAATATTAATGGATGCGACAATGTAGTCACCCTCTCTCTTTAGCTCCTCTGCCTAAATACAGATGTTTGTTTGTCTCAAAGATTCCTCCTGATCTTGCTTTGATATTTCACTCGAAATCCTCCACCTATCCCACTCACTCCACGCCATCAAGCAGAGTTTGTATTTCCCCTCCTCTTTCCCAAAATCCGTCCTTCCAGAACATCCTTCATCAAGCGTCCACCTCTGTGTGATCAATCCACATCCTGATAATTGTTTTTTTACCCTTCTATCTGGCAACAAAACTGACACCTTTTTTACAAGGAGTCATGTGTGCATAGACCACAATACCTGCAGTCATAATGCAAACAAAAAAACATAACTGATAATGTGCACTGTCCTTGAAGTTGATTGGTCCACACCCGAGACTGCTTTCCTTAGAGCCTAGTCTCACAATGTTTTGGACCAGATGACGCCAAAAGGCGCACAACTCAAAGACAATGCACCATCAGAGTATGAGAGCTCGGGGTAAGCATTTACACCATTGGAACCTCATTTGCCAGTAGTTGACCAATCAACTTCAAGGACAGTGCACATTATCAGAGTTATGTTTTTTGTTTGCATTATGACTGCAGGTATTGTGGTTTATGCAAACATGACTCCTTGTAAAAAAGGTGTCAGTTGTGTTGCCAGATAAAAGGGTAAAAAAACAATTATCATATTTTTTACTGGCAAATGAGGTTCCAATGGAATCCACATCCTGTTTACTTTTCTGGATTGTTCTGCAGACTCCTCTACCCTACCCACCCATCTCAACCTCCCGTTCCTGACGTAGAGCTGGAATACGTAATGATCTGAGTAATCAGTTACACCATTCTTGAGCGGCTGGGTTACTTGACTGATCGGGTGACGCAATTATAAAAAAAGTATCCCCTCTCTACCCCACGTTTGCCTTAGGATGGGAAGTGATGGGCAGGATTTTGCGATGTCATCGGCATCATCGGCCTCGTCACGCTGGTTGTGGCTGATCGGGGTTTCCTTCCTGCCTTCAGGAGGGAGGATGTCGAGATGGCCACCATTTTTAAAACTAAACTATTTTTATTTTGCCAGGTACGGCCCACTGAGTTATATATCTTTTTTTCAGAAGCGACCTGGCCACAAATGATGGCTCAACGAAGCGGCTTATCACATGGAAATGTATAGCAGCCAAATACTCTAAACGCATATTGAGTCTAAACGTGGAGGGGGGGAAACCGGAGGACCCGGAGAAAAATCCACTCTACTATGGGGAGAGAGACACGCAGACTCTAAATATACAGCAGGCTTCAGGGTCGCGATCGAAACCACGACTTCCTGTATACCAGGCGAGGTAAGTGACATCTCGCCACCGTATCGCCCAAGAAATCTACCACAACAATTGTAGTCACAACTCTCAGTCCATTCATTCCCTTAATTGATATCATCGTCGCGGGCAATATCCTGATGCCATCCCACCTCATTCTCTTCCACAGCTACTTCCCAGATGCATACCCCCGTGAACTGATCTCGCACCGTATTCCCGTACCGGGCCGCCCCAATGTCCCGCGCCGATCGTTGCTGTGGGTGTACCTCACCTGGAGGAGATCATGAGCGCGGTGGTGATGGCGTGCGTCAGCCCGGCGATGTAGGAGAACGGGTTGCGGCGGACGACGATGAAATAGATGAGAGGCAGAACGACGAGGCTGTGAATCGCCAGGCTGCACGTACAAAGACAAAGATCCCCCAAATAGCCTCAATAGACGGTTGGTGAAAGTGCTTTTAACGGACGTACATTAAGGCCAGAACGGTGCACGATGGGGTGGGTGGCCAATACCGCACCCGGCGGTGATTTGTACACACCACAACAAGGTGTTTATTTAAGGTTGAGTCGACCTAGGAGAGGCCCACGACCTGCTGAGATAATCGCCACCGATATTGGCTTCGAGCGGGACTCTAACGCTGGTCACAGGGTTTGTCGAGCAGCGCACTAACCATTACACTTCCGCCCCCCACTGCGTGCGGGCACACAAGCACACAGACACGGATGTGCATGAAATCAGGGATGCCCAGGATTGGTTCAGATAGTCGTTGATGGTGTTGGCCTTGAACGGGAATCGAATTTGGATCACCAGGTTCATAGCGCAAGACATTATCCTTGGCACTACCACTCCATTCCTACAATGGACAAAGATCGCCCATACAGCCCTAACAGACTTTTGGGTCAAGTGCTGTTAGCGAGCACCTATGAAGGCCGGCACAGTACACGAAGGGGGTGGGTGGCCAGAACCATGCCCGGCTGCCTTTGTCTCCCTAGCGGCGATGTTCACACACCGCACCAGGTACTCATTTGAGGCTGAGTCGACCTAGGGGAGGCCCAGGATCGGTTTAGATATTTGTTATCGGTGTTGGCCTTGAACGGGAATTGAACTCGGGTCGCCGGGTTCGCGTCTGCGTGTTAACCGCTACAGACTGTTGGAGCAAGTGTTGCCAGCTAGCACCTATGAAGGCCGGCATGGCACACGAGGAGGTGGGTAGCCAGCACCACACATAAACGCACGCGCACACACACACATCACGGCCACGGATCGAACTCGGGCCTTTCTTGTGTCGTACCCAGACAGCACCGTCGCCATGTAGAGGCCGAGCTTTCGGAAGATTTCCCAGTCGTCCACTTCCATAATTTTTCCGGCAACCAGGAAGAAGATCCCGATGGGCATGTACCTGAGCAGCACAGCCAATCAACGCGAGAGGCACACGTGGGAATGATTCGATTAATGAGCGCGATTACGGTCGTGACGCGTCGGATCAAATCTGCGTGTGTGGGGCAGGTTCCATGAGTGTGGCAGTACGTTTCAGGAACTTGAGATGTGGGTCGCTACGTATCTCTTTATTTCGGCATGGCAGCTCCCTATCGAACGCCTAAATAAGACACATTTTCTTAAACTAGAAATAACAGCCAGAAATTATGGCTCAATATGTTTATTACTAGCTACTATTTCTCAAACTGAACAACAATATTTTTTTTTATTTAACGAGGTAAGACCCACTAAGCTATGCAGCTCTTTTTCAGAAGTGACCTGGCCACAAATGATAGCTCAACGAAGTGGCTTATCGCGTGGAAATTTAAAGCAGGCAAATATTCTCAACACGTGACATGGATTATAAATGTGGAGTTAAAAAAGCGGAGAACCCGGAGAAAAATCCACGTGACCACGGAGAGCGAGAGCGTGCAAACGTGCGTTGGGATGAGTTAGAAATTTGAACGGAGGTTGCCCGTATTTGCGCATCTGCCCTGCATGGTTTGACGCCGGAAACGCCGGGCGTGTTGTGAACGGACACGATGGAATAAGACCAACGGGACAGAATGAGACTGGCGGAACATATGAGACGGATCGTGACGATCGTCTCCAAGGAAATTGAGATTGGCATGTACCTGAGCATAGGAGCATAAACACAATGAAGGCAACAGGCAAAGTGATAATTAACGATTCAATTGAAATCCATGTTTACGCTCATGCGTACATAAAATGGATACCACTTTATGGCAAGTCAAAAGATAGCGGTTATCCTACAGACGCACTCATCCCCCACCATAGGAATGTGGAATTTCCGCCACTGGCTCAGGGCTATGAGCCATCTAAGCAGGACGGCACTCTGACTTTTTGATGTTGATAAACCCCCAGGTGGAGAAGATGGGGTGGGGATGGAAGGGGAGGGAGTGATCGGGTGAATGACTTCATGCCCACGAACCGGACAAAAACGTCAGAACGTGCGATCGCTTGAACATGTGCGGACAACGCGGTGACCACATAGCTCGATAGGTCACAGGTTCAAATGCCGGATAGAGATAACCTCGGCCCATCATCCCTCTTGGGTGAATAGAACATTCTGTGTGGGTTAATAGTGATTGTACTTAGAGGAGACTGGTATCTGTCAGTGGACTGTTAGAATTGAAACTTTCCTCTTACATATTCATCATCGTTTCTATGTAATGTCCACCTGTAATGAGGACGCATGCCACCCTTTGCATGTCCGCTCGCCCACCAATCCACCCGCCCACAAACCCGCCCATCCCGCCACTCGCTCGGTCCCAACCCACCCACCAACCTGCCCACACACTCACCCATGCACCACACTGCCCACCCACTCACCCACCCACCAACCTGCACACCCACCCACTCACCCATCCACCAACCTGCCCACCCACTCACCCATTCACCAACCTGCACACCCACCCACCAACCTTCCCACACACTCACCCACCCACCAACCTGCCCACCCACTCACCCACCCACCAACCTGCCCACCCACTCACCCATCCCACCAACCTGCACACCCACCACCCACCAACCTTCCCACACACTCACCCACCCACCAACCTGCCCACCCACTCACCCACCCACCAACCTGCCCACCCACTCACCCATCCACAAACCTGCCCACCCACTCACCCACCCACCAACCTGCACACCCACCCACCCACCAACCTTCCCACACACTCACCCACCCACCAACCTGCCCACCCACTCACCCACCCCCAACCTGCCCACCCACTCACCCACCACCAACCTGCCCACCCACTCACCCATTCACCAACCTGCACACCCACCCACCAACCTTCCCCACACTCACCCACCCACCAACCTGCCCACCCACTCACCCACCCACCAACCTGCCCACCCACTCACCCACCCACCAACCTGCCCACCCACTCACCCATCCACAACCTGCCCACCCACTCACCCACCCACCAACCTGCACACCCCCCACCCACCCACCCACCAACCTTCCCACACACTCACCCACCCACCACCTGCCCACCCACTCACCCACCCACCAACCTGCCCCCCACTCACCCATCCACAAACCTGCCCACCCACTCACCCACCCACCAACCTGCACACCCACCCACCCACCAACCTTCCCACACACTCACCCACCCACCAACCTGCCCACCCACTCACCCACCCACCAACCTGCCCACCCACTCACCCACCCACCAACCTGCCCACCCACTCACCCATTCACCAACCTGCCCACCCACTCACCCACCCACCAACCTGCCCACCCACTCACCCACCCACCAACCTGCCCACCCACTCACCCACCCACCAACCTGCCCACCTACTCACCCACCCACCAACCTGCCCACCCACTCACCCACCCACCAACCTGCCCACCCACTCACCCACCCACCAACCTGCCCACCCACTCACCACCCACCAACCTGCCCACCCACTCACCCACCCACCAACCTGCCCACCCACTCACCCACCCACCCACCAACCTGCCCACCCACTCACCCACCCACCCACCAACCTGCCCACCCACTCACCCACCCACCAACCCGCTCACCCACTCACCCATCCACCAATGTACCCGCCCGCTGTGTGCGCTCACCACATGATGATGGCGACAATTCGCATCGTCGCTTCATTGAGCGCGTCGAAGAAGGCGGCCAGGATCTCCCCGCTGGGGCCCATTCGGCGAATCACGGAGCCGAACGCCACGCAGAACACGATGAGGCCCAGCACGTTGATGCCCGAGGAATATTCGCCATTCAGACGGTACTCCTTGACCACCGTCAGATTCTGAGCGAGGCGTGGGGGGGGGCAGGGAGACGAGCCGATCAAACTCAGAATCTTTATTTATGCTGGAGAAATCCGATGAGCTATGAAGCTATTTTGTTTTGTTTGGACAGATGTCCAGGTGATGTGTGGTGGTGGTGGTGGTGGGGGGCAGGTAGATGGAAGTCAGATCATTGTTGTTTTGATTTAAAGCTTTCGTGACTGCAGGGATTCATATTCTTGGTTCTTTCGGTAAAGTCACGTATAAGTTAAATAATAAAATAATACAAATATCAAACAATAAAAATTCTCACGACGTTTCGACTGAAACACAAGCAATTATCATCAGGTGTGAAATCCACAGCAAGAAAATGTGTTGTTGTTGTAATGGGTCGGTAAGGCCCCCCCCCCCTCCGCAACCCCACAACCCCCCTTTTAGTTTGAGGTAGCCGGGTGGCTCAGAGGTCCGAGATGCTTCGCAAGCATGGCCGAGGGCCCAGGTTCGGAACCAGAGGCACCAAATTGCCTGCTTAATCGCTGGTGGCTGATGAGGGTTTCTGACGCGCGTGATTGAAACGGGGTTCTCAAGGGCAGTGAGTTAACGGGTCTCAGTCCGGTCTCCAGAAACTTATACGGTAATAATAGTATTAATAAAATGCATTAATCAAGCATACTTCTGCAAGGTACTCAACGCGCTGTACACCACAAAATAAATGAGTTAGTAGATCGTTGGCCAGGTGGAGGAAAGAGCAAGACATATAGCCGCCGACTGAGAGAATTAAAAGCGAGACTAAAGGCGTGTTCAGGCGAGGTTCAAACACCACTCGGCCGGCTTACATCGACCCAGAGACTTACGTAGGGACCTAAAGACTTGTACAGTCATTCCTCGATTATCTGGGTTAATGGAGGGGGGTGGGGCGGTGTCGGGGAAGGGGGCAGGATGACCCAGATAGAGCCAATCCACGCATTATATAAAACACAACACGCATACATTTAGGCGATGCTATTATTTTTTTGTTCACGTATGCCGAACGGGGGTGGCGGGTGTAGGAAGGGCGCCGTCGGTTTAGCGATTAGCTGTACCGGTCCTGGGCCTCCCCTAGGTCGACTCTGCCTCAAATGAGTGGCTGGTGCGGTGTGTAAACGTCGCCACTGGCGAGACAAAGGCGGCCGGGCGTGGTGCTGAACACCCACCGCCTCGTGTGCTGTGCCGGTCTTCATAGGTGCTACTCGCTAACAGACATGCACATTTCACTGGCACGTGACCCCACTCCCCAGTTAACTCTCTATTACGCCTTCCACGGCCATTGCGGTAAGTCAGACGCTGACGGCTGCTCCTTCTCGCCTGATTGTTATGAGGTTTTATCGTGGCACGGATAAAATCCGTTGGGCATTCAATGGCCATTTGTCGATGAGGGAGACCTGGTTTACACCGTAGACACCTGGGTACAGCACACAAAAAAGACCTGCACAAAACAATCCATAAACAAGCGTGTTACACGGTCAGACTCCGAATGGCGAGGTCGTTGCATCAACATGGTGCCACGAGCACAATAAATACGCAGCGCATGCACAGTGATCAAATGCACGCACGCTTGAAAAAAAACATCTGGGCTCCAAAATTGACAGTGGGGCGATGCTCCTCTGGATTTGCAGCCGCGAGAAATTTTGGTTTGAAATTCCACATTACTGTGGAAGGGACCAATCTGTCCACGTAAAAAATAACATCAGTTGTCCATTGCAATTGTGGAATCATTGAACTCATGAAAGTGGCCTAAAATTTCATAGTAATAATTATTATTTAATCCACTTTGTCAATCCACTGCTGGATGAAAGCCTGACCGCAATGGGAGTTGGTTAAAATGTGACTAGGACTGGTTAAGAGATCACTCACTGCTGATGTTGGCCGTGGCCCAAATTCAAACTCATGTTGCTGGCCTTTATAGTGCAGTGCTAACTGCTGTGCCACAACTCCATTCCCATGATTCATAAAATATCCTCAAATTGATCTTCACTACTATCATCCAATTATTCATCATCACCACCAATCAATGAACACAAATGTCATCATCATGTCATAATTGTCATCATGGTGATCAATACATCATCACCATCGCCATCATCATCATCACACATCATGTTGACTATGTCAGAAAGGCACCCGGGCCCAAGGCTTAAACCTCGGCTCTATGAGATGCTCTATCAGTGGTCCAAGAAAACCAATAGCCGCCGTTTGAGACACCCAGCCTGCCCGGGTTATGTCAAAATCCATAAGCTCATTCCTCACATCACTGGGCCGCGTAGAGGAAAAAAAAAAACCCTCCGATAATATAAAATAAACATCAGACACAGATCATTCACGCAACTCATTGATTTTGTCGCCGTAAAGCGAACGAGGCAAGGCGAGCGTTTTTTAGCCCACCAGTGGCCATGTGGACGCAAACGGATGCCAAGTCACGTCACCGCAGATAAGGCGTTTCGTCAAAAATCATTTAAACATCCTTCATAAATTCTGCGGCACGCGATGCGGCGCTCCATTTCATTGATTAACATCGATATTATGCCCACGATACATTCATCAAACGGCGAGCGTATAAAAAAGTAAATCATTTACGAATCGCGAAAATTCAACGCAAATCTCTACGTATGAATAACCACCGTTGAATTCCCATGAATCCGGAAACTCGATCTTAGAAAAATGATTATCAACCTAACTGGGTACCGCGTGCGCAGGATTAGCAAGGCCGGCTACGTGCGGTGCGAGAGAAATTCAACATGCATGCACACGTTGTAGCGGCACATTCGCTCGGCAATCGAAGGAGGAAGACCTTCATCTGAATGGCGATGATGAGATGACTGTAAGAGTAGCCCTTGAAGCGCGTGCCACCTGAGTAACCAGGGGAAGACCTAAGGCAGATGGTGGTGGTGGTGGTGGTGATGATGAGACTGTAGGAGTGGAGGGCAGCTGTAGCAACAGCTGCAGTATCGCAGTAGAAGTAAGCAGCTGATGCAGTGTCAGTAACGGCATTGGCCATGGTGACACATTGACCTTGACCGTGACCTTTGGCACCGGACTGCCATTAGCGCCGAGTCGCGGCGAGCGAGGAGCTGCCCGCCCCTACTGGACATCTGATTCCTCCTGCAGTATAAATATTCTGATTCTGGACCTGGTCTCGGTGACACATTGACCTTGACGGTGACCTTTGGCACCGGATTGTCATTAACGCCGAACTTCGGTGCGCGGCTCGCGGGGGGTGGGGGAAGGGAGGTGGGTGGGGGGGGGTCCCCACCTGGCCAAGTTGCTCGGCGAGCGTGGAGAGCGCCATGGAGAGGGTGGTGGTCACGGGCGACGCCGTCGAGTTGACGATCACCACCTGGGGGTCGATCTCCGAGCGCCGCGTCCTGTACTGAAAGGCCACGGCGCAAAGACAGAGACAAAGATCCTCGTACAGCCCGTGACGGACTGTTGCGGCAAGTGCTGTTAGCGAGCGGCACTTATGAAGGCCGGCACGGCACACGAGGGGGTGGGTGGTTGGCCAGCACCATGCCCGACCACCTTTGTCTCCCTGGTGGTGATGTTTACACACCGCACCAGGTACTCATTGAGACTGAGCCGACCTAGGGGAGGCCCGGGACCGATTCAGATAATCGTCGCCGGTGTTGACCGTGAGCGGGAATCGAACCCGGATCGCCGGGTTCGTAGCGCAGCGCGCTAACCGCTGCACCACCGTTCCCCCAGGGCACGGCAGACAAGATGAAGGAGACGCCCTTGCCCGGTCCTACACGAGGGTGGACCGCTGGAGTGACATGGGGATGGGGTCGCCGGGGTCGCAGGAACGCGTGGAGTTGACCAACTTTCAATCTCTAAACACGCTGGCACTGCCCACGCACTCGCGCGGGACGCACGGCCATACGCACTGCGTACGCGTGGAGAGGTCACGTCAAAGAAGAGGGTGGTAATGATGGGGCTCAGGGGTCGTCTGCACCCTCCGATTGGCACAGTTGGCTACGTACGGCGCGAAAGAAGTGCAACATACATACAGGTGTACAGGCAAGTTGGTGGGTGGATCTGGTTGTGGCTGAGTGTATTGCGGTGGTTGAAATAAATAATAGAAGTTACATGGTGGTCAAGATGTCTTGTGACCCCCATTTAATTCTCTAAAACCTTATTTTTTTAGAATATTTTTTTATGTAAGGTTTATTTAAACAGAAATTAATATGCAAAGGAAAAAAAATATTGGGGGTGAATTAAATGGGGGTCACACGACATCTGGACCACCCTGTACAATTTCGACTTGGCGAGGTCCTTTCATACGTGTGAATATTTGCCACCGCCTACGAATGACCTCTCACGACTGGATACCTTGCCGAGCAACCGTGCGTGTGGCGAGATGTGATCATGACAGGGGGGCAGTGGGGGGGCGGGAGGGGGCGGGGGGGGGGCCGGGAGGGGGGAGGGGCCTTACCTGCTGAAAGCAGGCCTGCACCAAGTTCTCTGGAAACATATTCCTGAAAAACAACAGTGACATTTAGCGACTCCACCTCCTTCATGGGGAGGGAGGGGGTGGTGGCGCATCCGCGCTTTCCCGGTTCGAACCTCACGTCCGCCCTTGGATAATGCTGGCAAACGAACAAACTTTTTGTGCGGTGCCGTAAGAATAAACTTTCTTTTTGCATAGTTTCCTAAATATTCCTCCAAAACAGCCCCGCAAACGACCAGTCGTCAAAACGGCGTAAAAATTAGCAATGTGAGTCACGAAAAAAAAAACTAAAGAGAGCCGCCAATGAGCTCCTGACGGAAGAGAAGCCCTGTCGCTCGCCACCGGGGTAAAGAAACCAGCAGAGGATTCAAAAGGAAGACGAGCAGACGGCCGATGTTCCAGATGGGTGCCCTGCCGTCGTCGCGGACGCCGCCGCTGTGAACCACCTCGCCGTAGCGACGCGATTCCTAGGGACCGCTAATTCCGCGGGGTAGAGGTTTTTTTACTTTTCTCCAAACAATTCTGGCCGAAAACAAAAAAAAGTGGAAAATTACTTTTCGATTTAAAGCTTTCGTGACTGCAAACGTCGTGAGAATTATTTTATTATGTTTTATTTTTATTATTTTATTACTTCCCTTCTACGTGACTTTACCGAAAGAACCAAGAAGATGGAAAATTACTCTCTGAGATACATAACAACTTCAACCGAGAGGATGGGTACAAACTGAGCAATCATTGGAAGGACGTTGTTAACCAGGTGAAGTCTTAACTGACTGTGATGTTTCCATCCTACCTGCCTATGTCAGCTGTTATTTCCGACTCACTGTGTCTCTCTCTCTCTCTATATTCCTCTCTCTTGGATCTCTCATGCTCACATGTCCTTTGCATTGCACTCTCATGCCTTTGGATTGCCCTCGTTGAGGAGGCCGCTCTCCTATCTTATAGTGACATGCTAATTTCTCACATTAACATCACTAGCCCCGGCCACTTCTTTATAACCCTTGAGCTACACCCATTTCAAACCTTTTAAAACAGTCTGCCTCAGCAGCAGACCATGCTTTCCCACCTGATGACAGACGCTTGTGTTGCGCCCGAAACGTCGTGATATATTTTCTACCTACGTGACTTTACCGAAAGAAACAAAGAGTATGGATTCCTGCAGTCACGAAAGCTTAAAATCAAGATTGGGTAAAACCACATCGCAATATTGCCTTCCCTCCTATTGGCAGGCTACGCCTGTATGCGGAAACATAGCTCCTTTGTGATATCCTCATGCTATAAGAATGAAGTTGACTAATACTAAATCCGCCAATAATTACGATGTATTATACTGCAGCCCTGTACACCTCTTGCGAGGAAGGCGTGGGTTTCTAATTGCGTGGTTGCGGTTATAATATTGGCTTTAGGTCAAATTGGTCTCCCTGCTCAAACAAGTAATTGGGTCGTGCCAATCTCTGCTGGTGGCCATAGGCCAACGGTGGAAATTCCACGTTCTCATAGCAGGGGCACAACAGTCTGTTCCCGTGACAACAAGCTGTGTGCACTGTTCAAACGTTGCAACTGGACAATGAAAATGACACAACACGGCCTGCTCCCATGAATAATGTCTTAAGGTCGTGATGACTGTGGGGAGCAAGATAGTGTTGTCAAGGCGCCCTTCCCCCCTCCATCCCAGCTTAAATAGTCGCTCCAAGCCTGGGGTCAACCTGTCTCATCGTCCTTTTAGCGTCAGTAAAATCTGGGCCACTTCTTCTTGGTTCTTTCGGTAAAGTCACGTAGAAGGGAAATAATAAAATAATAGAAATAAAACATAATAAAATAATTCTCACGACGTTTCGACCACAACGCAAGCAGCCGTCCTCAGGTGAAGACCAGGTCTGTCGGGGAGACAGCGTCTGAATGAAACACCACCACGCTCACCACCATCATTCAGACTGTCTACTCGACAGACCTGCTCTCCACCTGAGGACGGCTGCTTGCGTTGTGGCCGAAACGTCGTGAGAATTATTTTATTATGTTTTATTTTTATTATTTTATTATTTCCCTTCTACGTGACTTTACCGAAAGAACCAAGAAGAGCAAGAGAGTGGATAAGTGGAGCATAATGAGGATTAAAGAGCATCATCCTGCCGCTGTGCCGAGCAATGCTGCAGCTGCAGCTACCACCCACTGATAGTGGTAGCGGTGATGATGTTGACGATGCTAATAATGGTCATGCTGATGAAGGTGACGATGGTTTTGTGGTGATGTACAGATGATGACAACAACAACAATTTAGATGCGGTGGTGAGATGTTAACTACCTTGCCTGGTATACAGGAGGTCGTGGGTTTGATCCCGACCTGACGCCTGTTGTATATTCGGAGTGTGCGTGGTCATGTGGATTTTTCTCCGGGTCCTGCAGTTTTTCACTCCATATTTAGAATCAATATTCGTTTAGAGTATTTGTCTGCTATAATAACAATAATAGTTTACAGTTCACAGACTCATGTTAATTGGGATGTATGGACATATTAATGATGACGATGGTGATAAACGAATCATGGTGATCACAAGACGTGTTGATGATGACAGTGACGATTGTGATGACAACAATGCTGCTGCCGAGTATGACGCTATCAACGACAACGATGGTGACGACGACGACGACGACTTGATTGCCGACCTGACGAGGTCGAGCAGGGTGTCCACCGTGGTGGCGTTGGGGGTCGAGCCGGTGCGGTCGATCTCGTCGGTGCTCTGCGACACGCCGGGCTTGATGAGCAGCACCAGAGCGATCCCTGTCGGGCAAGCGAGCGTGAGACAAAAGGGCGGTGCCCCTCGACGCCGGGCACGGTACGATGCCGCCGCGACCCCCGGTACCGGCACCACCATCCCCCCAAAGCCGTATCGGTCAGCTCAGATACACAGCGCAGTGCGATAACCACTGCGCCACCGCTCCCCCATGGTGATAAACTCTCGCTGTTGAACGTTAAATTACCTCTTTGCCCTTCTTCCATCTCCATCCCAATCATCGTCGTCATCATCATCAGCCACGATTCACTGCCAAATGAAGGCATCGTCATCGGCCGCTGGGTTAATAGCGCGGTGCGCTAACCGCGGTGCAACCGTTCCACCCGCCGGATCAATGCCCCGAGACAAACAATAGCCCCTGTGAGAGACACGCAGCCTGCCCCATCATTTACTTGACAGATTGTGCAGTATTTATGTAAATTAGTCATCGCTCCCTCCTCCCAACCCGTGAAAAAAGCACATACTTGACTCACATAATGTGATGCATAACATTGTATCTAGCGCAGCGGAGGGGCAGTGGTTAGTGCACTGCGCTAAGAACCCGGCACTCCCGAGTTCGATTTCCGCTCACAGCTAACATCAGTGGCTGGTGACATCTGAACCGGTCGGGAGCCTCTCATAGGTCGAACCAGCCTAAAATGAGTACCCGGTGCAGTGTTTAAAGATTGCCATTGGGAAGACAAAGGTGGCTGGGCGTGGTGCGAGCCACCCACCCCCTTGTGTGCCGTGCCGGCCTTCATTGGTGCTCGCTAACAGCACCTGCTATTTGTGTATAGACACTGGGGAGACAAAGGCGGCCGGGCGTGGTGCAGTCACACCATCTCCTTGCGTGACGTGTGCCACGTACCAGCCTTAATAGGTGCTCACTAACAGCACTCAAGCCAATAATCTGTTGAAGACTACACGATGTTTCTTTGTCTCTGTCCGTGTATTTGAGTATGCCTGTGTATGTGTCTGTTTCTATCAGTGTATGTCCGTGCGTTTGAATTTCTATGCGCATGTGTGTGCATCAGTATGTCTCTGTGTGTGTGTGTATCTGCATACACTTCACGTGGCCTCAAGGTGCACATGTCCTGGCACAAGCGTCGTGGTGACGTCACCGCCACTTAGTGGCGAATGGCGGTTGTTGTTGTTGTTGCATACCCAATAGGACAGCCAGGACGGTGGTACTCAGGTAGTAAGCCACCGCGAGACCACCAATCTTCCCTGAAACATTGGAATCCAGAGACGCCAATCCTGCGACAGATAAAGGGAGAGAGAGGACACAACAGTTACTATGAACCCTTTCCCGTTCCGATGACGTACGTCATCAAAACCAAACCGGAAGAAAAACTAAAATAAAAATAACTTTATTGGTACCGAGGCTCCCACAGGGCCATGCGAGAGGGCATGTGGCACAGTTTGGCGCCAGCTATCGTAGAGTGTGTTCGTGTAGCTATGGTTATCTGCGGTGAGTACAATGTCTTTAAAAGCGCTAAGCCGCTTGCATGTTCCGAGACTTAGCGGTGAACGAGACACCCACCCTGCAACTTACAGACGTCTCTTAAAGCAAGATGTCTATAAGGGTTAATTTAGTATTGCTAATGTTTCGATTTAAAGCTTTCGTGACTGCAGGGATTCATCTTCTTGGTTCTTTCGGTAAAGTCACGTAGAATGGATATAATTATTATATTATATTTTATTATGTTTTATTTTTATTATTTTATTATTTCCATTCTACGTGACTTTACCGAAAGAACCAAGAAGATTGTTAATGTTATTATTTAATGCACGTCTCTCCATTCACCAGGAACTCAATGATGTCAATCACCACCGCTTGAAGGCACGCAATCCCTTTTTGACCCATTCGCTTAAACCTTCAACAATGCAAGCTCAACCCCGATGAAGCTTGGAGAGCTGGACTCGAAAAGAACTCATGAAACAAACACCTTGTGAAAGACCCAATGCAGAAGATCTTCCACGAAGCTCATTGTCCACCCTAAACCGCATCCAAACAAACCACGGCAGTAGATGCGGATACCTAATGTGGTCATCCAGAACAGACCATAAAAAATATAATGACGCAATGCCCCGATCCACAAATACAAAGGAGACATCACGGCGATACACTCCGCTTACTGCTGACGCGGATATATGTGCCTTGACCAACTGAATGTGAAATTGTAGTTGTTGTCGCTCTGCATCTTCATCAGCAGCCGTAGGAATGAAGTCGCGCAAAGCCCTTTTGAACCCAGGCACGTAACCTTTGACAACGCGACTTCAACCCTGATGATGACGAGGCTTGGAAGGCCGAAATGGAGTTCACAAGAGGTCACAGACAAACGCCGGGACCCGACGCGGAAGACCCGCGGCTCGAATGTCCGCGAAGCTTCGTGGCCACAACCCCTGGCACCGCATCCGCACACGCACCATGGCAGCAGCGGTTGCGGCTACTTGAAGCGCAATCGGGAAATTAAAAACTGTCAGGCGGCGTGCGACAGCTGCGGTCGCCACCCAGAAGAGAACCGTGGAACGTAGAGCGGCTCAACGCCTCGATTGACAAACACGAGGGAGGAGGCATCATCACCACAACAGCGGCGGCGATGCACTCCGCTGCTCCTGACGCAATTATCTGTCTCAACCCACTCGAAGTGTCAAATTATAGTCGTCGCGCGACACGAACATGAGCCGTACGGAGAAGGATATTTAACGATATTAATGTTCAAAAGGAGGTGGGGGGGGGGGAGCGGCGCAGTGGTTTACGCAGCGTGCTATGAACCCGGTGATCTGAAGCTGCTTCCCAACCACAGTGGGGAGAGACGTCACGTGGCGAGTGACGCATTTGAGCCGGTCCCGGCAGCAACCTGTGCTGACCGGCGTGCTGAAGTACGGTCAAGCGACGACCTAAAGACCGACATGGGCATGGGGAGAGGGCTTCATCCGGGAGTAGACCGATAAAAGACTGCAATAATTATTAATACAAAAATGTTAAACTACAGTTTGGCTGTGAGACGGAGAAACTCGTTCACCTGCCTGCATTGCTGGAGAGATTGTTGTCCATTGTTTCGAATTCTAGGCCCTCAAAGGACGCAGTACGGACAGAGGCCTATACCACCACAGTGGCCAGATTCTAAACATTACGCTCAAATGCAATGGTTTCTCTCTACGAAACATGATATTATTGTTGTTGTTAATGGGATATTGGAAATGTCCAATTGCTATGCCGCGGTAGTGGTTAGGACGCTGGACTGGCAATCAAGAGGTCGCCAGTTAAATCAGAATCAGAATATTGATTTATAATTGAGGAATCCGATGAGCTCTGAAGCTCTTTTCACAGACGTCCAATCTCCCGTCCCCACCCTGCCTCTGTCCACCCAGCGATGTTAATTGGCTCGCCACTCTGAACTATAAACTATTTTTAGTTTACCAGGTAAGGCCCACTGAGCTATGTAGCTCTTTTTCAGAGCAACTTGGCCACAAATGACAGCCCAATGAAGTGCATTATCACGTGGACATGTATAGCCAGCCAAATACCCTAAACGCTTGTTTCTAAATGTGGATAAAAAAAATACGGAGGAGCTGGAAAAAAATCCACGCGAACCACGGGAGAGAGAGACACTGCAAACTCCAAATAATACAGCAGGCGTCAGAGTCGGGATGGAACCCACGACCTCCTGCATACCAGGCGAGGTAGTTAACATCTCACCACCGCCAGCGTGTGATGGGCTCGATCAGTGTGTTGGGTTTAAAGCACGTGGTGGGGTAAATTGTGGGTACTTCCATTTCTTCAAAGGCGTCAGGCGAGCATGGATGAGTAGGCCAGCCACACACCCTCCAGAGGGGCTATTCTCTAGCTGCCTCCAGGTGGAGGCCCATTCTGCCAGCAGTGGCGTGAGCAGGACATTGCAGGGCTGCACCTTTATATTTCCCATTAACGCTAACAAGCGTTAATTCACAATCAACGTTTTTGGGTTTAGATCGCGTTATTTATAAATGTGTCGTAACCCTCCACCACCCGACACGGCCAATCAGTAAAAAAGTGTCACGTTGACAAAGACAAATAGTTCACCGGTGGGCTAAAGCAGTGAACTATTTGTCTTTGTCAACGTGACACTTTTTTACTGATTGGCCGTGTCGGGTGGTGGAGGGTTACGACACATTTATAAATAACGCGATCTAAACCCAAAAACGTTGATTATGAATAACATTGGTCGCGAAAGCCTACGTGTTAAACTAAGCGTTAATTTGCACGAGTAGAAATTCTAGTTAAAGTAAAAAAAATTAACCCGGAAAAACAAAGTTTTTCACTATAAATCCTTTATATGCGTGGCGGCTAGAGTCCTCTCGTCCTCTGGCTTGAGATGGCTGCAACCTATGGGTCAGATGATTGCCTGCCACCATTAAGCAATTGGTAATTAAATATAAAAAAAAAATTCCTAAAAAGTGTAAAGTTATGGAAAAAAAAATTCACGAAAATACATTGTCACGCACAACGAGTCTGTGTGCAAAATGTCAGCTCGATTGGATCACGGGAAGTGGGTTAAAAAACGACCGAAAGATTTGCACGGTCGTAAGCTCGCAAGCAAGCAAGCAAGTGAACTTAATATAAAGGATTAAAAAATTACGTACTTATATTTACCGCAGCATTTCCCCAACGCAAAATTTAAATGACATCACTCTCTCCGGATCAACCTTTGAACTTCCCTCGAGGCAATGAACGTGAGTGCACGAGTGTGGGTGTGACGCTTATCGGTGACTTATTGCAACGCCTGCAGTTTGTGCCGAACACCCAAACAATTACCTCTCACCATCACTCCCTCCTGCCCCTGCCTGTATATCACGTGGAAATTGAGGCCCTGATCGAATCTAGGGTTAAACTCTTGCGCACCGCACATGCACACGCGTGAAGACAAAGGTTCCCCGTATAGCCTTCATCAGACTGTTGGGCAAGTGCTGTTAGCGAGTACCTATGAAAGCCGTCACAAGTGCGCGAGGGGGTGGGTGAACAACACACACGTCTGGCCACGTTTGTTCTCCCCCAGTACTGAAATTTGCACACCGCACCAGGTACTCATTTAGGTCTGAGTCGACCTAAGGGAGGTGCAGTATTGATTCAGATGTTTGTCATTGGTGTTGGCTGTGAGCAGGCTACAACCTGGGTCAGGGACTTCGTATCACAGTGCGCTAACCACTGCACTACCGCTCCCCGTGAGTACGCACACACACATGCATATGCATGTGCAGAGACACAGGCACGCAGGAGACAACACACACACACACGAAGAAAAGCACACTTCATGCTGTACATAGAGCCACACGCACACACAGATACTGACAAAAACTAACACGCAAATACAAACATCCCCAAGATAGCCTTGAACAGACTGTTGGGGCAAGCGCTGTCAGCAAGCACTCACAAAACACACGTAAACACGGACACACACCGACATAGAAAGAACAATCCCCATTCGCCACCAACACCACAGTGCTTGTGCCAGGCTAGGGACACTTTGAGGCCAAGTGAAATGTGGAAGTCTCGTTGATGCTAGGCAGCTGAAGGGAGAGACCCAGGTGTTATGGGTTAACTGAGCGAGATGACACGGCAAATGCGCCACCTGTCCTACCAACTGCGCCAATGAGCACATAACCCTGCCAACTGGCACAACTGCCGCAGTTGGCACACGCAGAGACACAGGCACACAAAGACAATGGCACACACATACTTAAAAACACAGAAACCGTGACTTCAATCCTGTAAAGCATCCAGGGTGGTGCGGTTAGCGAGCACCGAGTTGCGTGCACATCATCAAACTTAGATACTTGTCCCTGCCATATGAATGGAGAATTTCCACCAAATGGTCCTGGGGGCAAACAACCGGAATTAGCGCCACCCAATATGCTGACTTTGTCGATTTAATCGACAGAATGTCTGATCGTGCAAAAATCATCACACTAAATGTATTGTCACGACATTAATAGTCGTTCGGTAATACAAAGCAGGAAGAAAACCACGCAATATTTATTTAACTGCTCTTGTTACAGACAATGTGGCAATAATGATAATATGAATGCATTGTTACTGAAAATACAATTGTGATTCATGAACCGGTTAATTTCTTACGTTATTAATACTAATGAGTCTATTCACGAAGCGTCCTTCATCAAGCATCTCAGAGCGCTGCACAAGACAGGCCCAGTACAAGATCGCCGTATGGATGGCACAAATCTTCTTCTCAACCACAGTCCCAGTTTGCAGACGTGGGAGCAGTGAGTCTTGGCATGAGTTTCCGCGTCAATAAATTGTTGCTGTTTCTTCTCGTAAGGGGCCCTTACTCAGACCTGTTCAACAAATACTACTAAAGCGTTCTTACTTACCAGAAAAACTCAACGATGGAACAAAAATTTTTCGTCATAAATGTAGATAATACATTACTCGATGACAAATGCATTAGTAAATACTGTGCTTTTCTAAATAACACATCCCTGCTGAGGGAGCTGGTAGGAACGTTGGGTTGCTCGGTCAATGGCCAGGGTCAACGACGGCGTGGTGTATTCCGAAAATATGCCCGACTGTGAGGGCGGGCACAAGCCGGCGTGAGTAGGTTAAACGTTGAGTTTTATAAGGGCACCACGGGGTGACCAGCCCCTCCCCACCCAGTCCCACCCCTCCCACCCAGTCCCACTCTCCCCACCCTCCCCACCCAGCCCCTCCCCACCCTCCCCTCCCCACCCAGCCCCACCCTCCCCACCCAGCCCCTGCCCACCCTCCCCTCCCCACCCAGCCCCACCCTCCCCACCCAACCCCTCCCTGCACGACGGACGGACAAACACAATAATCCCCTGTGGGCTGGTGTAACCAGGAGGTTCCTACCAGTACAATGGTGTTAATGTCTCACCGTTATGATAGATTTAACAAAGGAATAGTATATTCCCAGACCTGCTTACGTTCTCACGAATCCATTACCCAGAATCTTCACGTACCTGGGCAATCTCACGAATTTGGAAGAACCATTTAGAGACTTCAAACGTATGGCTAATCAATGGCATAATCACGAAGTGGCTTTTTACTGCGGCATAGTATGTCAACCAATTAGGGCTGCAGTTCAGACGGAAAACAAAAATTGTCCACCTCTCTTGATTCTGGAGAAATGCTCAGAAATGTTCCCCGTTGTCAGCCGTACAGTTTTCTCTCGCCGTTACGCCTGTTTCTTTTGTGTATATGCGGCGGCAGACCAATTTCTGCCCAAAATTCGCTTACATGCGGTTCGAATTCATTCGTGCGTGGCTACGCGGTCGGACGCGGGACCATATTGTCTGTGCACGGTGCACTGCTACTCGGCAGGTAGATTTCTCGCGCAGGTGCATTGTGGGTTGGGTGACTGGCGCAGTCCACGCCACGTGATTTTGCTTTGCGTGCCCCCCTATTTTTTGGGATGCATCTACCGCACTAAGCGAGGTAAATCTGTACTCAAGCTCAATATTTGTTACCCACGCTGAGACGGTGATTATGTATTCAGGTTCTTGTACGTGTCAAACCGCCGCATTTATTCCATCAACTACAGGTGTGCCCCTGTGCGGCCCTTGTGCCAATCCACTGCTGGATGAGGGCCTCCTCCACACCGTGCGGGACATGGCAATACTTCACCATGATAGTTAATAACTTAGTACATTTATAGCGTCTTGTTAAATGACTCACAACGACACGTTGTAACAAGTCACCTGCTGACACTATATTGCACCTGTTTTCACACCAGTCGTAGGCACTCCTGTAACGTTCTGTATGGTCACATACACTTGACTTCTCCCCGCTCACATCTATTCTGCAACCACACTTATTATGCACTCAGCAGCTCTGCACACAGTAGCTCTGCACACAGCAGCTCTGCACACAGCAGCTCTGCACACAGCAGCTCCGCACTCAGCAATTCTGCACCGCTGCCCTCGACTACGCTCCCTCAGACCCGCTCACCCGTCTGTCCCGGGCGGGGGGTTCAGCCAACACCCGCCCGGCAACGGCGTGAGGGTTGAGGTCCCGTTGACGGCTTGAGCGGCAGCGGCGAGATGTCTACACTCTTCGTTCCCGGGCAACTCGCACACTCCCCTTATATACCCCTCCTCATTCCGAGTCCTCACCTGCTCCCCTCAAGCTGCCGCCAGCCCGGTGCCTGTTGCCCCATTAATCCCTCACCATCACCCCCCATCTCCCGTCTCTCCGACGCCAACCTCCGGTCACAGCGTATCCACCTGTTCGATCTCAGTTGCACCCGCTTCTCCTCTTAATTACTGGTGGTTTGTCGGTGCAAACCTCATGTTACAACGCATACATATGTTCGACCTCAGTTGCACCCGCTTAACAGCGCGCACCGCGTAAATCTCTCCTCTACGCATTTAACATTCGTGTCGCAAGGCTATCACACAGCTCGCGAACTTAAATGTGGATGTACGATGTACACGTACTTGCCGTACGCAAGAAGAAGAAGTATCAAGAAGACGTAGTCTGTGATGGGGGGGGGGGGGGCAATGTTGCGATGTGAATTTAAAACTGAGTCATTTTCAGGGGGTAAATGTTCTCCGATTTGGCAAATTTGCACCGTGACAGGGAAAAACAACAGGCCGACTCGCTTCGAACGACATCACGGGATCTTTAGCATCCACGGCCAGTGAACCAGCAGCAATAATCACGGCGGCCTGCCGAATTCGAACCTCAATCTGCAACAAGCGGCAGACCCGCTACCGCTGGGCCAAGTTTATTTCTATTTTTATTTTAACCAGGCAAGGCCCACTGAGCTACGTAGCTCGTTTTCAGAAGAGACCTGGCCACAAATGATAGCTCAACAAAGTGGCTTCTGTGAAAATTTCCAGCAGCCAAATACTCTAAGCGCGTGCTGTTGATCCTAAATGGGGAGGGAAAAACCGGAGGACCCCGAGAAAAATCCACACGACCACGGGGAGAACATGCAAAGTCCAAACATGCCGGCGTCAGGGTCGGGATCGAACCCACGACTTCCTGTATACCAGGAGAAGTAGTTCACATCTCGCCACGGTGGCACCCACCCTGCGCTGGTCAGTGCGGGGTTGGTGATGGGGAGCATAGGAGTAGAGTACAGCAGCGTACCGCACTGCTCTCTGCTGCCCACCACGAAGCATACACTATGACAACTGTTTGTGCATCGTGGTGGTGGTGGTCTCTCATCCAAGAACCTTCCAGGCTCTAAAGACCCTGCTTAGCTTCGGGGATCTGATGAGAGTGGGCACATTCCCAATGCTTTGGTCCCAGCAAATCTATGGAGCCATTACCTCCGATGTGCATTACGCTATTACTGATACGCCGTGGGTCACAGAGGGCAAGTTTTTTTTTTACCAGGTATATTTTTTTACGTTACCAGGTAAGGCAAGTGCTGCAAAACACGACTGCGTACCGTACCTTTACGCGTCCACATCCACGCTCTCCGCATTCACCAAAAACGCACTGACCGGCGTGGTGAAGTATGGCCAATCAACCACCAGGACCTCAACCCCGACCACACGGCGTCGGGGAGACCCCTCAACCTGCAGTGCAACTGACTGGCTAAGTGGGATGTGCGTGTTGGTGCAACAACAACCGCCATTCGCCACTAAGTGGCGGTGACGTCACCACGACGCTTGTGCTAGGCCAAGTGCACCTTGAGGCCACGTGAAGTGTCGAACGCCCGCTAGCAGGTCACGGGGCAGACCCAAGTGCCACGGGTCGACTGACCGAGATGACCAAGATGACCAGAAAAACAACCTCCTACCTCCTCGTGGTGCCGGACGGGCAACACTGTCGTGGGCAGTGCTGTGGGGGGAAGGCCAATGCCTCATTGGCCTCTCCCCTCATGGCGTCTGTGACCACCACAGTGGCTAAACGGGGGCTCTGGACGGGTGCGAGGGGCTGGTAACCCCTCCACCTTCAATTAATTACCACGAAACTACGAGTGTTGGTGCACACACACACACACGCACACAGCGCATTTATTCGGATGATTTTGAAGTGAGCAACCGTGACGTTGCGCTGTTCGGTGCAGCTGCCGGCACCTGTGATCATGCTGGACACGATGAGCGGCAGGATGATGAGCTTGAGCATCCGCATGAGCACATCACCCGGGAAGGAGAAATACACGATATCCAGGCTGTTGAAGTTGGCGAATTCCCGCAGCAGCAGTCCCGTGCCGATGCCTGCGTCAACGCACAACACCTCCCTCGTGTCGTCAAGGAACATCAAACATCACGCAAACTGCGGGCATCCTCACCGCGGACTTTTGGCAAACTATCGAACAAAGACAGTCACTGCATCGCGCGCTTTTGGATGCGCTTCTGCGGTTTCCCGGAACGCTCTTCCTTCCGATGTTTGGAAGCCACTGGGAGCCACGGCGCTTTTGAAATCTCCCGTCAGCACGGTTGGCTGCGTGCGGTGCGGACAACGCGGCGTTTCATTCAGCGCGACGAATGTTTCAGAGGTGTGGCAGGGTGGCGTGGCGGTCTTAGCGCCGGACTATGAATCACGTGACCTAAGTTCGATTCCGGGGTGACGGGCGGGCGATATCCGAACCCGTCCCGGGACCCCACTCCCCTGGCCGACACGGAGACGGGAACTGCACGCAACAACGCTCATTTCAGCGCGAGGACAACCTTGGCTGGGAACAAGGTGATGATTAACGTAACGATTCAACTCATTATTTGCAGAGCCTTTCTCAAAAGAATGAGCCAGGTGAGAACTGACTGAGGCAAGGATGAGTCTCATATGCAGGAGTGACCTGGGGCATTGGTCTGCCAGTAGGGGGACGACGATTGCTGTGTAATCCAATTTGAGTAAATTTCGAATTGGGGAAGTTCGACTGGTATCAAGAGCGACTGTCCAGGAATGACCGCCATTCGTTGTTCTTGTATCCATTGTGTAACCAGGAGATTAAATAAACTCGGTGAGACTCATGGGGAAAAAAACCCACTGCCTCTATCGCAGTGGGCACCTGGGTAACAGCGCAAAGAATAAATAATCTCAAAACCCTTTGTCAATCCACTGCTGGATAAAGACCTCCCCAAGCCAACTTTGCCCATGGACGTCCGTTTGACCATACCACGGCATGGCGGTGGTCAGTGCAGGCCTAGGACTGGCAGGCCGAGGATTGGGTCATGATATCCCTCTACACCGATGTTAGCCTTGGGCTAGAATCAGACTCGGGCTGCAGCTCTCCCGCGGGAATTGCCGTGCCACTGTTAAAATTTAAACTGCAGTTGCCGTCATGCATCCGAAGGTCAAGAATTCAACTCGTGGTTGAGGGGTCAACTTGACATCATCATCCATCTCTAGCGTGGCAATGAGTACTCATTTGTATGCCGTCGATGGGTGGCTGTCTTTGTGAGACACTGGTACTTGCCATAGTAATATGGAATTTTCACCAGTAGCTCAGGGTTGCCACCATGCTTTCTTGTGGTTTTTAAAATTAAAAGTCCAAAATGTCTCCCGGGTGGTGCTAACCGAGTGGCAGGAAATTCAACATTCTTGTGACCGAGGTGAGTCTATGTGTATGATGACCATGGCTGACTCTGCTCAAAGTGGTACCTATTTTACCGACCCTGCTGAAGGAGTGATGATGGATACGTTGAGCCCTGGACCAGGATCTTCGATCACAACATTCTGATTACAAGCCGAGCATCGTGACCACATCACCTCCATCGCAATTATTTATTTATTTTACTTTACAAATAAAGGCATTGTATAACTACGTGAGGAAATACACGTTGCAAAATTAACTGAGACCTGCAATTTTTCACCGTATTACTTTTTGTCTTTACATCTAAAATTATATTTTATCTCAGGACTTGCGTGTAAATTCACCTTTGCGAATGAAATATAAAGCTGTGGCGATGCTATCTGAATGTACTCTGGCGGTTAAGTAAGGGAAATAGAGAGTGATTGACACGGTAAAGCAGGTTGCTTGTGCATGGTGTGATAGGCGTTATGTATGCATGAGTAAATAGAATGCATCGGTCTATAAAACACACTGGAAACCCATTACCCGTTTGTTGAGATGGGGTCATTAAAGGCCTGTGTTGGCCTGCCAATGCCAATAGAAATCTGCGGAAGCGTCTACAAGTTAGATTTTTTTTTTGTTTCAGAACGTTAAGTTACACTTCACGTTCTACGTAAATCTTAGCATATAACGATTTTTTTTTATGATTCTATGTTCTGTACAATTGAGTCGCTTTAAAAGCTTGAGATTTACACGTTAGTGGAAGTGCCTGTATTTTTAATAGCGGTACCCCAAGTACACGGTCGTGTTTGACTGAACACCGATCAAGGCAATGTGAGAATTTGACTTGTTAGCCAAATAGTAATTTTATTTTTCGATATTTTTTTATTTGTATCCCTCTGTCACTCTGCCTCCATCTACTGGACATCTGTGAAAAAGAGCTTTATAGCTCATCGGATTCCTCCAGTATAAATACGTATTCTGATTATGATGTTTGTCTCCCTGTCACGTCAGAACCTATTTAGATCAAAGCGCCAGTTTAGATGCCAAACAACCGCGTGAGGAAATCAGATAAAGGCTTTTTTAAAATCCATTTAACCGCAATAATATTATCAATCACATGCCAGAAAATACACATTTATATCAATGGCATGTTGCCTTGCTTTTATAGACTAATGCAAAGGGAATTTAATTCAGTGGCAACTGATGCTGTCATCCAAGCTCTCACAAAGCAAGGCCTTCATATAAATGTAGCATAGAAAAAAAAAACACACATCAGGGGATGGAACCTACACTGAGAATACACAAAAAACTAAATGCCAAGCGAATGAGGAGGCAGGCAAGGAGATTGGCTCCCACCCATCGTGGTTATTCAAGGCAATGCCCACATTTTTCCATAAAATGTGCCTGCAAATTACTCAATTGGGATTATAAGATTGAAGCCATCAGCCTCCGACTGCGAATACTTGACAGGGACTTCCTGAGAGAGGGCTTATGAGACTCGGTGGAGGGTTTCTGAGGTAGACACGTTTAATAATACTACAATAATAATACTACAATAATACTACTACAATAATGATACTACAATAATACTACAATAATAATACAATACTATAATAATACTACAATAAGAATACTACAATAATACTACAATAATGATACTACAATACGTGAAATCATTTGGGGGGGTCTTGGATTGCAGAAATTAAGCCATAAATATAATTTGAGGAGCATTGAAACGGATCCCACGTGTTCTCATGAGACTGTCATTACGACCCAAAGTGAAATCAAACTAAAGAGGAAGAACTTGCAAAAGGAAGCTGCAAAATTGCAGTATCGATAGACATAAGCAAAGCAAATATCACTTCAAACAAGTTGGCAGAATGCATTTTTCGAAAAATAATCATTAGAAACATTTTCTTTTGATGCTGCTACTGCTGCAGGGTTGGCAATGTTACACAAGCACAATTAACAACAACAACTCAACACATTAGTCAATAGCAGTTATTGTGAGCTAGGATTATTGATGAAGACGTTGAGCTTTGTCGCTGTTAATTATCGGTGGGACACAAATGGAAAAGACAAAAGAGTTTGTATATCGAGGGGAATTCTTAAAGGTGAACCAGAATCAATTAATTAAAAAGTTAGAGTAGGTTGAGGTGTTTTTGGACGACGTGCATTTAGAGTATTTGGCTGCTACAATTTCCACGCGATAAGCCACTTCGTTTAGCTATCATCTGTGGCCAGGTCGCTTCTAAAAAAAAGAGATATAGCTCAGCGAGCCTTACCTGTAAAAATGAAAACACGAATATTTTAACATGAAAAGTAACATTACCAATGTGCCAAAAGAGAAACGTGGCCATAACAAGAATTGAAAAACGTGGACCCTGACTTAGAAAATCCAACAAAAAAATGACCGCACAGAATCATGGTGCGATGCATGGAGGGAAACGAGAAATGCTGCACTGATGGACAGAACAACGCATGGATTTGCGACCGTACGAAAAGAAAGCTGACATCGGTAAGTAGGATTGGGCAGGGCAATAAGCTGCGAGAAGGGATAACGGAAGATGGATGAGACTGATAATGGATTAGTATCCACAGGGTGAAAACACACCGGGAGAGGGATGGCAAACCGGTGATGGAGGTGATGAACACAGCTCATGTCCAGGGAGGGGTGAGATGGTTTAAAAGGACACCAGCAACATCCGAGGCGGCAACAGCACATTTGCCAGGCTAGGTGCAGTTTCACAAGCACACACCCTCACAAACACTAGCACAGTAATACACAACATACATTCACAAAGAAAGATCCCCCATATAGCCTTGACAGACCGTTTGGGCAAGTGCTGTTAGCGAGCACCTAGGAAGGCCGGCATGGAATACGAGCGTGTGGGTGGCTAACACCACGCTCGACTGCCTTTGTCTCCTAAGTGGCGATATTTACATGCCGCACCAGGTACTAATTTAAGGCTAAGTCGACCTAGGGGAGGCCCATGACCGGTTCACTGTTATTGGTCGTGAACGGGACCAAACCCGGGTCACCGGGTTAGTAGCGCAGTGTGCCAGCTACTGCGCCACCACTCTCTAAACACACATGCTCCTTTAGACACGTTCATGTGAATTTTATTGAGCCTAGCACACAGTAGTTTCGGGGGTTACTTTTTAAAAAATAAGCAGTTTCATAACAATGACGCCTGTAATCAAGGTTTCTTAGTACATCAATTGACTCTTGATATTTTAAAAGTTGCGTAATCCGATCGATTATTTTTGTTGCACGACATTTTTCTGTAAAGTACCATCAACGCAAATTGCGTTGAGCACGATACGTTGACATCGAGGCTTTTGTGTCCTGATTTATGGTACAACAGTACGCGGATGTTTGTCCACTGCTACCCTCACATCAACCCAGACTGCCGGATGCAATCGTGCCAACATTGTAACGGAGCTTTGAATAATATTAATGTTTAATTACGTATTATGCGCGTAATCACAATACACGTGCATTTAACTGGTACATGATTCAAAATAGATTTTTGGCTCAGGCCGCGTGTAACAAAAAATGTGTGTCGTAAATCCTCCTCCACCCGGCACAGCCAGTTCATAAAGACGTCACCGTGAACAAAAGGGGCATCATCAGTCAGTTTTTCCACAACTCTGTCGATTGCCTGACGATGCCGCTTCTAGCCACCAGCGAAACGCCGGACCACCCAAATTGCTCTCTATCCACCACCAGTGGAGTGCTGAAACAATACTACGTAGAGACACGTTTTGTTCACGCGACAACTTTATCAAATAAGCCGTGTCGGGTGGATGAGGGTATACGACACACACTCTTAGTTGCCCAATCTGACCCCCCAAAAAAACCTCGTCTATGATGAATCGTAACATTGGTACCGCGAAAGTCCACCGTGTTACATTTGTCCACTGCATGTTCATCTTGCGGCACAACAATAGCTGGGTAATGCTAGTTACTGGTGTAATAAGCCTTTGGTAATCTGATTATAGTCAAGGCGTTCCTTTCTGACATTTCTCACAAGGCTGTCATCCTGCATCACTAAATCATACACGCGCATACATAAGGTAAGGAACAAATGACATGAACACACGACCACACGGAAAATTGATACACATACTTACTTCTCATCATCCCCTATGGGACATAAGGCTACAATTGATACGCACGCATACACCCAAATACCATACGTACACATATACACATCAAACACATTATATATAGTCCTATGCATGCATACCTGTCAACCCCTTGTCAGTGTCTACCTTATTACAAACCAATTCAGACCTTATTGGTGACCCCGTGCCCTTATAAATATCAACGTTCATCATACAAAGTCCCATCACAAGCGTGAAACACAATCAATAGACGCAGTTGTTTCGGCTCGTATTGAAGCGGCTGTAACGCCGTATGGACCTGAAAACTCAATTTCCCCGTACAAGAATACGGGCTAAAGCGTGTGGCTTGCCAGCTATGAATTGTTTATATTGATTACGTATGGATTGACACGGTATGTGCATGATAGACTTAAATACGTCTCGAATGGAGGCGTGGGTTATGCCCTCTCTGGATTATCCGAGTTGGATTCCCTGGCACGGCAAACATCGGTGGCGAGTGAGATCATCCCGACCCTTCAACAATCTCAAGTCTGCTCAAACAACCCTCGTGAGATGGTGTGGGGGAGGCCTTCATCCAGCAGTGGATTAACATCGTGTAACATGTGTACATGTGTATGAAAGTGTGTGTGTGTGTGATGGAGTTATGCACCACACGCAACAGACAATCTCAGACGTGACATTTTATTGCAGGCAGACATCGGTATCAGACAGCAGTGCATGAGACACTGATACACACACACACACACACGAGTCCATTCTAAACACATGCACAGCAGTATACAAGAGACAGAGTCTCTCAGGCAACAACAATGTCGCACATTCAAACAGTCTTATCACAAACACGCAGCAATACTATGCACACAACAGTGTGCCACTATCTCACACACATGGAGTGGCAACAACAGTTAGTAATTACACACACACGCATCACCTATCACGCACCAGTATCAGACACACACCACTGACACACGCACAACAGTCTCTCTCTCTCACACACAGCAGTAATATAACAGTCAATTACAGGCACACCGCATCCTGTCACACAACACACGCACAGTCACACACACACAGTCACACACACACAGTCACACACACACAGTCACACAGTCACACACAGCCACACACACACACAGTCACACACACAGTCACACACACAGTCACACAGTCACACACACAGCAGTAATATAACAGTCAATTACAGGCACACCGCATCCTGTCACACAACACACACACACAGTCACACACAAACACAGTCACACACAGACAGTCACACACACACACAGTCACACACACACACAGTCACACACACAGTCACACACAGACACACACACAGTCACACACACAGTCACACACACACAGTCACTCACACACAGACACACACAGTCACACACAGACATACACACAGTCACACACACAGTCACACACACACAGTCACACACACACACAGCCCGTCACACACACACAGTCACACACACACAGCCCGTCACACACACACAGTCACACACACACAGCCCGTCACACATACAGTCACACACAGTCACACACACAGTCACACACACACAGACACACACGGTCACACACAGTCACACACAAACACAGTCACACACACAGCCACACACACAGCCATACACACACACAGTCACACACACACAGTCACACACACAGTCACACACACACACAGTCACACAGTCACACACACAGTCACACACACACAGTCACACACAGTCACACAGTCACACACAGTCACACAGTCACACACATACAGACACAGGCCTCTACACAACAGACTGGACTGCGGCAGAACAGTTCACACTACAGCCCTCTGTACCATCTTATCCTAGCAAGGCCCACAATACCACAACACACACACACTACACCACAATGTGTACACACTGCGTAAGCTGTTCTGTGTGTCTCCGCTACTTGTGTGTGTCACTGTGCACTGCCACGCTTGCGAATCGTGCAATTGTCAGCATCAGACGGAATTCCATTGGCAAACTCGCTTGCAACAATGAATGACGGTCAAGTTGATAAGCGACAGCTCCGAACATGCTTACGAACAACAACTCTCACTCCCAACCCCAAGCCGTCGGTCGCAGTGTCATTGCGAGTGAGAACAATTGCGTTCTTATCAGAGTAAGGCCACGGATAAGCAGTGTGCGTCTTTTAAGAGAGATATTGATGGTGGCGATGCGGACGTTTTGGGTTATTTGGTGGCTTAAAGAAGGTTTAGTGGTGGTTGTGATTGGTGGAGTGGATATGTATGGCCATAGATAGCATTGCTCGTTCAGAGATGTGGTTGCGGTGGTAGGTGGTGGTTGTAGGTTTGGTTGTGGTTGTGATTGGTACAATGTTATTGTATGTCTGAAACATTTCTCGTTAAGAGATGTGGTTGCGGTGGTGGTAGGTTGTATGTTTGGTGGTGGTTGTGATTGGTACAATGTAATTGCATAGCTAAAACAGTTCTCGTTAAGAGATGTGTGGTTGGTGATGCTGTGTTCGTGGTGGTGGCGAAGGTTTCGTGTTGGGGTGGTGGTTGTGATTGGTGCAGTGTTTACAAATGTACGGTCATAGAGAAATAGCATTGCTAGTTAACATGTTGTTGGTTGTGTTAGTGGTGGCACAAGGGTTAGTGGTAAAGACTGTGCTTATTATTCCTGTAGTGTGCTGCTGATACTGTCGCGATGTTGCCAGAGATCATTGGAGATCCCATTAAAATGCGTAGTTTCACACGAGCGCACGCACATAGGCGTACGTTAAAAAAACACACAACAACAACACGATAATTTAATGAAATGCGGCACCATCTAATGAGATTACGAACAAACAACGTAGAATAAGACGTCCATGCAAGAGATACTCACCCAATACAACGGCGGCAACGGTGCTGAACAGAAGCCAATTGCGCTTCCAAAAGCCTTTCATGCAATTATCGGAGCCCATGGTTTATTTTGAGAAAAAAAAATCAATTTTTCACGTGGCGTGCGTGCGCGGATATTTAAAGGTATCGCTATGCTACTACGCTCTCTCGTCTACCGACCGAAGAAAAAAAAACCCAACCTAACAGCTCGCAATGCAACGCCCGTCGATTGCCGTCTTCACAAGCGAGACAACCCGAACGAGTGCCTCGTTAATTCAGCACCACCGCCGCGGACGGGCCAAGATCATCCGCGCAGCAGTGGAGCTGAATGAGCGAGGCGCAGGAGAGGAGTGAGTAGGGGGTGGGTGGGATGTAGTGTAGAGATCTTAACGCCACCAGCACCACCAGCACCACCGCAGCCGCCGCTTCCACAGACCCCGGGCTATCTCTCCCGTCTCGCCTTCGCCGTTCTGTGTGAACCCAGCCCGGAGAGAGTCCACGGGGCTCTCTAGTAGCGATCACTCTCCAGTGACGTCACTGGCGCTTGATCACGCTGCGCTGTGGTGCGGGGTGGGGAGAGAGGTCCCAAGCTACACGCACTGCCTCTGGTGGCCTTTGGTGGTCACGGCACCGCTGGAATTGTCTTCCCTTTCGTATGGGGAAGAGGTTCTATGCAGCGGCGAGCGGCGACGACTCCAATTTTCACTGTCACGCCAGGCAGCCGCGTTCAGGAGGGAGCAGCCGTGGCGAGATGTTCACTACCTCGCCCGGTGTGCAGGAGGTCGTGGGGTTAGATCGTGACCCTGACGCCTGCTGCTGCTGTATATTTAGAGTTTGCGTGTCTCTCTCTCTCTTTCTCTCCCCGTGGTCGCGTGGTTTCTTCTCCGGGTCCTCCGGTTTTTCCTTTCACATTTGAATCAACATCACGCGTTTAGAGTGTTTGGCTGCTACACATTTCCACGTGACGAGCCACTTCGTTGAGCTGTCATTTGTGGCCACGGCCCTTCCGAAGAAGAGCTACGTAGCTCAGTGGGCCTCACCTGGTCAAATAAAAAAATGAAAATTATCGCCCGTCAAAGGAGCGCATACTACATTGGTTTACGATATTGCCCATAGTTTGTGTTGCGTGGCCGCAATCGTACTTAATTCTAGATGTGAAGCTTTCGTGACTGCAAGGATTCATATTCTTAGTTTTTTTCGGTAAAGTCACGTAGGTAAAAAATTAAAATTAATTAAAGTAAAATAAAAATAAAATAAAGATCACGACGTTTTGGAGGCAACACAAGCTTCCGTCTTCAGGTGGAACCGTCACAGCACGATAGCTGTATCAAGTGAAACCGTCACAGCACGATAGCTGTATCAAGTGATACAGCTGTATCAAGTGATAGCTGTATCAAGAAAAAAAGCTGTATCAAGTGATACAGCTGTATCAAGTGATAGCTGTATCAAGAAAAAAAGCTGTATCAAGTGATACAGCTATTGTGCTGTGACGGTTCCACCTGAAGACGGAAGCTTGTGTTGCCTCCAAAACATCGTGATCTTTATTTTATTTTTATTTTACTTTTATTAATTTTAATTTTTTACCTACGTGACTTTTCCGAAAAAACCTTAGAATACACAATCGTATTGTCGTGGCTTTGTACACGACAGTCGATTGGCAGGTGCTTTGTGGTGAGGTAAAGCGTGGGTACGACTCCCACCGCTCTTAATACATCAGGTCAGTGTTGAAGAGCAGGCCAAATAATCATTTCCATTTAAAGCTTTCGTGACTGCAGGGATTCATATTCTTGGATCTTTCGGTAAAGTCACGTAGAAGGGAGATAAAATAATAAAAATAAAACATAATACAATTCTCACGACGTTTTGGCCACGACAACTATGTTCTTCACCTGAGGACGGCTGCTTGTGTTGTGGCCGAAACGTCGTGAGAATTTTATAATGTTTTATTTTTATCATTTTATTATTTCCCTTCTACTTGACTTTACCGAAAGATCCAAGAATACAAATAATCGTTGTTCCATTAAGTTCGCGTTTTTCACCAAGGATCTCAAAGCGCTGTACAAGACACAGCAGCGACAGACACTCAGCATGACAATAAGTACATTGTAAATACATTTTAAAAAATCTATTTACTAAATTAACTAAAAGTTGAACCAGCGGAATCGGGACTGCCTTTGACGCCCTTCCGCCAGCAGTTGGCGTGAGCAAGAAACTCCAGGGCTGCGTCTTTATCTTTTACATGCGTGTGCTCGACTCGGTGTCTATATGTATGTTCGTGTACAGCCCCTTTGTCTACCAACTGCTGGATGAAGGTCTCCCCACGCCGTGCGTGGGCCATACTTCAGTAGTCGCCGGGGTTTACCAACCGAGAATCACTAAAGTGCTCTTTAGATGGGTAAACAAATGGGTAAATGGGTTTAGAAAATACGAGATTGGGCAGTTAAATATTTAACCACTAAAAACGCATACCTCTTAAGATAAGGGCAATTACCAAAAAAAAACTCAACTCATTCGTCAGGAACGCCGAGGCCTAAAAATGAAAAATATATAATAGGCGACGTTTTGAGCAACGGCCCTTCTTCAGAGCACACGAGATAAGGTCCTACACGGGGATTTCCAAGAACTCTTTTTAAGGGGAAAAAAAACACACAGGCATGCTAATTATTGCTCTCATTCACTGAGAACTGTACACATTTACAGAATAAAAAAATTAAAGACTACAAGTAAATCGTTGTGGTAGCTCGAAGCGGGATGGGGTTTAAAGGGAGATGGTGGAATTTGTTTTGTCCGTGACCAAATCATATGGAATGTGCCCTATCCCGTAAGCTCAACGGGCTGAGCCTGGATAAGTGTTTGGATGAGTGGCCCCAGTGCAAACATAAGGCCGTAAGGGACTCCCAGATGCATCTCGCCGGGCCCTTCATTTCACATAAACCAGTTTACAGGTAGACGATTATTGTACTGCGGGATGACACATTGGACAGCAAAGTCAGTTGCCCTGGACTCTACCCCACCCACTATGTTTCCCACTTTCACCAACCCGTGCTGACCCACGTGATGAAGTACTCGGCAACTATTCAAATGCGCCACTTTACAAAACTGTTTATCGGGAAACATTTTATTAGTATTATTATGTAGTTTCCATCAGGTCCCATGGTGTAAAGTGCAGGCTCAATCTCGTATCTATTCATTTTACCACGTAATGTTCACTGAGCTACGTAGATATTTTTCAGAAGCGAACTGGCCACAAATGATCGCGTAACAAAGTTACTTATCATCATGTCGGAATTTATAGCAGCCAAATACTCTAAACGCATGTTGATTGTAAATGTGGAGGGGAAAAATCGGTAGGACCTTGAGAAAATTTACAAACAACCACGGAGGGAGAGACACGCAGACTCCAAATATACAGCAGGCGTCAGGGTCTGGATCGAAACCATGATCTCCTGTATATCTGGCGAGGTAGCCTACACCTCGCCACCGTGGCGCCCCTCAACGTATAAACTCTCTCTGGCTTCTATGTGCTTTGAATAAGGACAATTTCTTGAAACATTACCGATAAAAGTAGAATTTTATGGCAGTATTATTGACGATCGTGTAAAAACGTTATTTTGTTAGTTTGCTTGTGCACAGCTGCAAATGCTGTATCACCATATAATTCGTTTCGTGGTGAAGTATGGCCAATCATCCCCCACGACCTGCACGGCGTGGGAATGTGTTCATCCAGTAGTGAGCAGTGGATGGACAAAGTGGACAACGATCACTGCAATCACGATCAGAAGCCATACGTTCAAAACTTCGGTTCGGGATCAATTCAACACTACACCAACACCACAGGGCCTATACAACGGGCGCCCCTTTGCGTGAATTAACCAGTGCTTGTTCTATGGGTGGACTGTGCCCCCTACCCGTACCGCACCTCCGATTCGCACGGTCGGCTACGAACGGCGCGAAAGAAGTTCGCACCGTTGTGGAATTTCCACCACTGGCTCGTGATCGGAAAATGCCGGATAGGCTGAAGGGAAAAATATACAAGACCATCGTCCGACTGGTGGCACTCTATGGATCCGAGTGCTGGCCAGCCACAACTGTACACGAACAAGCTCTCCACACCATGGAGATGAGGATGCTCAGATGGAGCCTCGGGCTCACTCGATGGGATCGTGTCAGGAACGAAGACGTTCGGAAGCGACTTGGTGTGGCCCCCATTGCGGACAAGATGCTTGAGGCAAGGCTTCGGTGGTACGGCCATGTGATGCGAAGTGAAGAGTCATCAGTGGCCAAGACTGCCATGCGTATTGAGCCAGAGGGCCGCCGTCCACGCGGACGTCCGAAGAAGCATCCCCTGAAGATGCCCTGGACCGAGCCAAATGGAGAAGACAATGCCGAAAAGCGGACCCTGCGCCACAGCGGGAACAACGCTAGGAAGAAGAAGGCTCATGATCATTAAGAGAGCGAATGGGCACTGCCCCAGCACTCGTTTGAGCCAGGGAGGCTCTTTCAATTTGACCTTGGTCCCCCGCCTCATGACAGGGCTTCGCTGCTGGGCTGAGAGAGACAGCTTTGGCTGCCGAGACCCCTTTGGATGCCCTGGCCGTCCTTGAAGGGTCTGCCCCCTGGTCACACTCCCTGGAGCCTCTCTGGTCCGTCTGTCCACATATTGGCACACACAAACCCAGCACATGCTCCCCAAGGCTTGTCGCTCAAGTCAAGATGTACGCATGGCCAAATCAGCCTGAATGCACCCGATCTGGGCAGACCTCGTAAGCTCAGCAAGTTCGAGTCTGGTTAGTACTGGGATAGGAGATTGCTTGGGAATACCAGGTGTTGCAGGCTTGAACCTATAACACCCACCTGGTACAGCCGAATAGAGATGTATTTATGCATGTTGAACTTAATTCGCACCGTACGTAGCCTACCGTGCTAATCGGAGGTGCGGTCAGGGATGGTCAGGATCTGGCAATACTGCAGTGGATTCTGGAATGTAACGGCATTCTTTAATCTATGTGTGCTGAGGTTTAAGTGTTCCAAGCTGAAATGCGCGGTGGATTGTCTCCGGGTACACCACTTTCCTCCCACATGAAAACAAACGATCACTGATGGAATAGGCCAAACATTCCAAATGCATGGCCCTCATAGGAAAGTGTCTTTATATTACTGCCATTCGTCAGTGCCTCCCTCCGCAAACTAGCAAACAAATCTCATTCAGAAACATTGAAATGGTACAGCACTGTAGTTATGGGAATTCCATATTTACGTGACAGAAACCAGTCTTCTGTCGACTTCGGACTCCGCGGAACTTTTGAGTCACCCTGATGAGAGTCACGTGTTGATAAGTCAACCCTCTGATTAGGGCGAAAACTCAACAGCTCTTTAATGCTCATGATCAATTCTAAAATTAGGATAGGTGACACTGTCCCCAGAACAAATCCTACCACTCGCAAATTAACGAGAACGAGAATAATAATAATATATTTTTTTTAATCAACCCTTTGTCAATCTACGCCGTATCGTTT